TACAGCATGGTGGCTAATATGAATAATACCATATTTATACCATTTGAAATTTGCTAGGAGAGCAGATATGAAGTGTTCTCACTCCCCATATGGTAACTGTATGAAGAAGTGGATATGTTAGGTAATTTGTAGTTATCACTTCACAGTGTATACATATATCAAAACGTCATATTGTAGATCTTAAATCCATATCATTTTTATTTGTCAATTATGCCTCAATAAGGCAAGGGGGAAAGCATGTTAAAGGTGTCACAACGCAATGGCAGCCCACGCCTTTGTAACCCGGGTTTCCCCAGCCTCGGGGTGTGACGGGCTCATGGTGAGTTCAGCCCTTCTGTGGGGAGTTCAGGCGCTCAGCGCCCGCCCAGACTCCCCCTGCAGAAAGTACTCCTATTCAAGCAGCCCTAACCTGTTCGTCCACGGGGACTGCCCTCACACGGGGCCGTCCTGCTCGCCACGGCTCTCCCAGCTCCAGGCACAGGCTTTTTCGGTGCCGCGGTCCAGGCAGAGCCCCCGTCGTGTTCACTCATCGGTCTACGCCCATGCTCCTCTGTCCGCCCCCGTGGGGTGGGCTGTGGGCTAAAGAGGGGGAAGCACATGGGGAGCCCCGTGATTTAAGATTCTGCTCTCCGAGGGCCCAGCGGCGAGTGTGCGTGATGCGAGGGGTAGAGGGTGGGAGCCAGGCTCCCCATGCTGGGCAGGAGGGTTGCCGGGGTCTGGTCTCCGCCATCATCCAAAGGTCTGGCTAGGCGAGGAGGCTCTTTGGAGACCTCACTTGCTGGCCGCACAGACTTCTTCACGGGGCTTCGTGTCTTCATGACGCATCAGCAGGCTTCCCCAAGAACGAGCCGTCCAAGAGTGAGAAAAAGGAAAAGGCCCCAAGACCTGAGAGCGCCACACGGCCACTGGAGCCAAGCCACTGAGTCCAGGCCACACTCCGAAGCTCCCCTCCTTGAAGGCAGGAGCGCCTGAGAAACTGCGGCCCTTCCCACAGTTTCCGTCGGCTCTTCCTGAGTCCAGCCTGTGGTTTCCAGCCTGCCCTTTCCTCCTCCCAAGGCGTCTTGGTTCCTCACGCATCCTGCCAGCTCTCCATCCTGGATCTGCAGGGCGCACACAGCGGTCCTTCTCTTGAACTCAGCACTCTTTCTCCACTGGTGTGACACCGTAGCCCAGAAGCAATTCACACCCAACACTGTCTTCCCTCTTCTGACATCCTGTGCTTTGGAAATGAGACACACCTCAACAGGACAGAAACGGGCCCAGTTTTCTCCCTTGGATGCCCAGAACGTGGGGCTTCCCTGGTGGCCCAGTGGTTAAGACTTTGCCTTCAAAGGCAGGGGGTGTGGATTTGCTTCCTGGTCTGGAAGCTAGATCCCTCATGCCTCAGGACCAAAAAACAGAAAACAGAAGCAATATAGTAACAACTTCAATAAAGACTCTAAAAAAAAAAAAAACAAAAAAAAACCAGTTCTTGAATTAGGAACTATACAAACTCAATGCAACTGATAAGTGGTAGCATCCAATATTCAAATGACTTGCTAAAGTAATTTTCCATTTTTATTCCTGCCCTATTTCAGTCAGTCTGGGAGATTCCTGGAAAGAGCATGTGCTAAATGCATTTCCATTTCCATTAGTAGGCTCCATAAATAGTCAATCTGTTTCATTTTTCTATGGATCATTCTCAACTTCATTTACCCAAGCTGAGTCACACTGTCAAAGAAAGCTGAAATGGTTTACATTCAAATAGCTAAAACTTGTTTGTCCTGGTATGCAATTATATACACATTTAGAGAAAGAGGAAAGAAAGCAATACCAACATATACTATTTTTCTGTCAGTGACCTCTCTCTCCCAGTCTATTTTTACTTAAAATGGAGCCGGGCGTTTAAAAATTAATGAGTGTAAAGTGTTTATTATATAATGATTTATAGGCAGCGTCAATATATATTTAAAGACCTGAGAAGTAAAAGTGAGTAAAAGTCACTCAGTCCTTCCGACTCTTTGTGATCGCATGGACTGTAGCCTGCCAGGCTCCTCTGTCCATGGGATTCTCAAGGCAAGAATACTAGAGTGGGTTGCCTTTCCCTTCTCCAGGGGATCTTCCCAACCCAGGGATTGAACCTGGATCTCCTGCACTGCAGGTGAATTCTTTACCATCTGAGCGACCAGGGAAGCCCATTTAGCGACCTACTGGGAAGCAATTTTCCAAGGTAAGAGCCCAAAGCCAAGGTCTCTGGAGAGCCTGAGCTCTCCCATGTCTGAGGTCTTACGGACACCTCTCGCGTTCTGGCATGTGTCTGCAGACAGGAGCGTGAGGAGCAGCCTCAGGTGCTGACACTCAGATACACTGCCGTGTGGTTATTGGGGAGGAGCTGGCTCTAGGCTCACGTGGCTGTCGCTCAGGGCCTGGAACCTTTACATCCTTACGCCCCCTCCCTCCTGCTCCCTTGCAGCCCCTTCGCTCTCTGTCTCATGAGTCAAACCTCAGCCCAAAGTCTGGCAGCCCCATTAGCTGGTCCGGGGAACAGGGCGTGTCATGCGTCTTAGAAGAGGAATCCAGAGGCTCACGTCTTCCACACACAGCGTCGGCAAAGTGAGCAGTGGGGATTTGATAAATATCGAACTAAATAGGAACTATGTGATCTATTTCTTTTTTACTTAATCATGATTGTTCTCCATACATTGTCATTGCCATTCTTTAGGAATCCTGAGGTGCCCCCCTACCCAATTTTTTTTGGATAATTAATTTTGCAGTATTTTGCAAAATTTTTTTGCAGGATATTTTGCAGGATAATTTTTTTTTAAAGTCTTCACTTAAAATCACAGGCCCATTTGTTCTCTTTCAACTCTTTTTTTTTTTCTTTTAAAATGGTCCCTTCAGGTTGGATACATGAGACAAGTGCTCGGGGCTGGTGCACTAGGATGACCCAGGGGGATGGGATGGGGAGGGAGGTGGGAGGGGGGTTCAGGATGGGGAGCACATGTACACCCGTGGGCTGATTCATGTCAATGTATGGCAAAAACCACTACAATATTGTAAAGTAATTAGTCTCCAACTAATAAAAATAAATGAAAAAAAAAAACAGAGGGAAAAAAATAAAAACATAAAATGGTCCCTTCAAGATAAAACCATTCAATATGTGACCTTGGAAAAGTCCCTTGATTTCCCTGAGTCTGCTTCCTCATCTATAATATGGGAATTACAGATAATCTATAATATGGGAATAATGATAATGCCTTTCAAAAGATTGCTGTGAAGATGAAATAAATTATGTGCATGAAAGTTCTTGAGTTGTGTAAACTTGATTATCCTTACCGCAAATCTAGACCAAAACAACACAGATAATCAACATTGACAGCTACCTGGGACTTCCCTGGTGGCCCAGGGCTTAGGACTCTATGCTTCCACTGCAGGGGCCCAGTTCCTCGTTGGGGAACTAAGATCCCGTAAGCTTCAAGATCCAGCCAAAAATAAAATAAATAAATAAAAAACCATAGCTGTCTAAAACAGAACATCCATATGAATGTGAGAGTTGGACTATAAGGAAAGCTAAGTGCCGAAGAATTGATGCTTTTGAACTGTGGTGTTGGAGAAGACTCTTGACAGTCCCTTGGACTGCAAGGAGATCCATCCAGTCCATCCTAAAGGAAATCAGTCCTGAATATTCACTGGAAGGACTGATGCTGAAGCTGAAACTCCAATGCTTTGGCCACCTGATGCGAAGAGCTGACTCATTGGAAAAGACCGTGATGCTGGGAAAGATTGAAGGCAGGAGGGGAAGGGGACGACAGAGGATGAGAGGGTTGGATGGCATCACCGACCCGATGGACATGAGTTTGAGTAACTCTGGGAGGTGGTGATGGACAGAGAGGCCTGGCGTGCTGCAGTCCCCGTGGTCACAAAGAGTCGGACACGACTGAGCGACTGAACTTGAACTTAAAACAGAACAGCCATCACTACTGGAGATTTCCTAGAAAAGCTGTACTAAATATTTAGATTTTAACTATCTTCTCTTCCACATCTTTTTCTCGTTTTCCCAAAGCCCCCATTCCTTCCATCAGTGGCATGCACTACCTCAGAGGTGGGAAAGTTTACCAGGTTTGGGGAGTCCCCAGCACAAGAGATCTGAAACCCCCTCCCCCCAGAGTGTGGACCCCAGCGAGAAGCCACATCCAGCGTGGCACCTGGTGGTAGCAGCTGGGCCTGAGAGAGGCCTGGGCATCTCAGCACAGTGTGGGCAACGCGGCCAGATACTCCCCGTGTCCCCAGAGGAAAGTGGAAGGGACTGAGCAGATGATGGCACGCCGGAATGGCTGTGGCTGTCAGCAGAGGGGATGCTATCTGCAGGTTAGCAGGGCCTGAGGTTGAAACCTAAGGCAGATGAAGCCTAAGGAGGAGAATGCCGCGAGGAGAGAGAGGACAGTGGCGGTGGCTGGCCTCCAGAGATGCCCCTGAGAACCACAGCTCCTGACGGTCCCTGGCCTCGGCCATCCGCTCCCACGCTGAATCTGTGTTGGCCTGCAGTTCACAGAAGGCCAGAGAAATAACATGGTAACTGCCCCACGCCCACGTCTTCAGAAAAACTAGCAGCTTTCAGTCTCTGTGGGAGTCAGCCCCCCGGGTGAGGAGCCCAGGTCCCCTGTTGGAGGGGCCCGTGAGGGTCAGACACCTGGTGGAGAGAGACCACCTGCAGGATGCCTAGGCACCAGGGTTCTCTCCACCTGTCAGCTTACAACTGTCAGGGACGTTACAGAGAAGGACCGCACCCCAGAGGAACCGTGTGGGGGCATCACCAAACAAGAGCAGAGTAGTTAGCAAAAGGTTTGGGGGAAGGATTGGGGCTGGTGGAATACAAATGAAGCTGAGTTTTTTGTTTGCTTTTAATTGAAAAACAAATTTATTCAATTGAGGTCATCAAAGAAATGCAGTGTAGAGTGATGCTGTTGTTGTTTAGATGCTAAGTTGTGGACTACTCTTTGCGATCTCAGGCTCCTCCATCCATGGGATTCTCCAGTCAAGAGTACTGGAGTGGGTTGCCATTTCCTTCTCCAGGGGATCTTCCTGACTCAGGGATCGAACCGCACATCTCCTGCATCGCCAGGTGGGATTCTTTACCGCTGACCCACCAGGGAAGCCAAAGTGACACTGTGTGCGTGCTAGGTCGCTTCAGTCCAACTCTTTGCAATCCTATGGAGTATAGCCAGGCTCCTCTATCCGTGGGATTCCCCAGGCAAGAATACTGGAGTGGGTTGCCATGCCCTCCTCCAGGGGATCTTCCCGACCCAGTTATTGAACACTTATCTCTTATGTCTCCTGCATTGGCAGGAGGGTTCTTTACCACTAGTGCTACCTGGGAAGCCCCAAAGTGATGTTAAGAGTCAACAATTTTCTGTGCCAACTACTTGTCTATCGTTTTTTAAAACTAGATGCCATATTTCACAGGCCATAAATTCACATACCGTAAAATTCACCACGTTAGAGTATACAATTCAGTGATCAGAGTATTTTTAGAAAACTTTGTATTTGGTATTGGGGTACAGCCGAGTAACAACGTAACAATATGTGATACTTTCAGGTGAAAAGCAAGGCACTCAGCCATAATATACACAGATCCTTTCTCCTCCAAATGCCCCTCCCATCCCAGTGCTTATAGTACTGAATCAAAGTTTTGGTAGGCTCAGAGCAAAGCGGGCTCCGTGTAGATTCCACAACTGTTCATAACCGAAATGGCCCCCCTGAGGTTGTGTTTCCTCAGACACCGCAGGGTTATGGCAGACGGAAAATGTCATGTCCAGTAACTTGGCACCTGAGGAGTTGCGTCTGAGATTTGCCCAGCAGTAAACTAAGGCTGTTTCCCTGTGTCTAAGTGATTTGGCTCCTCTGGGCAAAATCACAGCGTGTCATTCTTACTGAGGAAACTTTCTGATAGTCTATGATTTTAGAAAACAAAGCTACTCAGGAATTTTAAAAAAAGACTGTTTTTAGGCATTTTCACTTGCAGTGAGTCCCTGGATGGACTATTTCCTTCTGTCCATTTTGCACATTGTTTGATCCATTCTTGTACTCCAGCCTGAAGAGAGAATGAGCAGATGTTGACATTCTTCAGTTCAGTTCAGTTGCCCAGTTGTATCCGACTCTTTGTGACCCCGTGAACCGCAGCACCCCAGGCCTCCCTGTCTATCACCAACTCCTGGAGTTTATGTCAAACTCATGTCCATTGATGAGTCGGTGATGCCATCCAACCATCTCATCCTCTGTTGTCCCCTTCTCTTCCCTCCTTCAATCTTTCCCAATATCAGGGTCTTTTCCAGTGAATCAATTCTTCCCATCAGGTGGCCAAAGTACTGGAGCCTCAACTTTAGCATCAGTCCTTCCAATGAATATTCATGGTTGATTTCCTTTCAATTGACTGGTTGGATCTTCTTGCAGTCCAAGGGACTCTCAAAATTCTTCTCCAGCATCACAGTTCAAAAGCATCAATTCTTCAGTGATCAGCCTTCTTTATGGTCCAACTCTCACATCCATACATGACTACTGGAAAAACCATAGCTTTGACTAGATGGACCTTTGTCAGCAAAGTGATGTTTCTGTTTTTAATAAGCTGTCTAGGTTTGTCATAGCTTTTCTTCCAAGGAGCAAGCATCTTTTAATTTCATGGCTGCAGTCACTGTCCATAGTGATTTTGGAAAGCAAGAAAATAAAGTCTGTCACTGTTTCCACTTTTCCCCATCTATTTGCCATGAACTGATGGGACTGGATGCCATGATCTTAGTTTTTTGAATGTTGAGTCTGAAGCCAGATTTTACACTCTCCTCTTTTACCTTCATCAAGAAGCTCTTTAGTTCCTCTTCACTTTCTGCCAAAAGGGTGGTGTCATCTGCATATCTGAGATTATTGATATTTCTCTTGGCAATCTTGATTCCAGCTTGTGAGTCATCCAACCCAGCATTTCTCATGATATACTCTGCATATAAGTTAAATAAGCAGGGTTACAATATAGAATCTTGATGAACTCCTCTCTCAATTGTGAACCAGACTGTTGTTCCATGTTTGGTACTAGCTGTTGCTCCTTGTCCTGCATACAGTTTCTCAGGAGGCAGGTCAGGTGGTCTGGTATTCCCATCTCTTGAAGAATTTTCCACAGTTTGTTGTGATCCACTCAGTCATCATAGCACTATTTACAACATCCAAGACATGGAAGCAACCTAAATGTCCATTGACAAATGGAAGGATAAAGATGTAATACCTATACTATAGAATACTATTCAGCCATAAAAAGGAATGAAATAATTCCATTTGTAGCAACATGGATGGACCTAAGTGAAGGAAGTCAGAAAGAGAAAGACAAATATCTTATGATATCACTTTTATATGGAGTCTAAAATATGACACAAATAAACTTATTTATGAAACAGAAACAGACCCAAAGACATAGAAAACAAACATACAGACACCAAAGGGGAAAGGGAGTGGGGGTGGCATAAATTAGGGGTTTGGGATTAGCAGATACAAGCTACCATATATTAAAAAAAAAACAAGGTCCTACGATATAGCACAGGGAGTTATAGTCAATACCCTGTAATGAACCATAATAAAAAAAATGAAAAAATCACTTTGCTAAACATCAAAAAGTAACAGAAAGTATGCAAGGACAGGCATAATAAAGGACAGAAATGGTATGGACCTAAGAGAAGCAGAAGATATTAAGAAGAGGTGGCAAGGGCACACAGAAAAAATATACAAAAAAAGATCTTAATGACCTGGATAACCATTACGGTGTGATCACTCACTGAGATCCAGACATTCTGGAACGTGAAGTCAAGTGGGCCTTAGGAAGCATCACTATAAACAAAGCTAGTGGAGGTGATGGAATTCCAGTTGAGCTATTTCAAATCTTAAAAGATGATGCTGTCAAAGTGCTGCACTCAACATGCCAGCAAATTTGGAAAACTCAGCAGTGGCCATAGGACTGGAAAAGGCCGGTTTTCATTCCAAACCCAAAGAAGTGCAATGCCTAAGAATGTTCAGACTATCACACAGTTGCACTCATCTCCCACGCTAGCAAGGTCATGCTCAAAATTCTCCAAGCTAGGCTTCAACGGTATGTGAACCAAGAACTTCCAGATGTTCAAGCTGGATTTAGAAAAAGCAGAGGAACCAGAGATCAAATTGCCAACATTCACTGGGTCATCGAAAAACCAAGAGAGTTACAGAAAAACATATACTTCTGCTTCGCTGACTGTGCTAAAGCCTTTGACTGTGTGGATCACAACAAACTGTGGAACATTCTTAAAGAGCTGGGAATACCAGACCACATTTTTAACTGCCTCCTGAGCAATCTGTATGCAGGTCAAGAAGCAACAGTTAGAACTGGATATGGATCAACGGGCTGGTTCCAAATTGGGGAAAGATTATGTCAGGGCTGTATATTGTCACCCTGCTTATTTAACTTATATGCAGAGCACCTAATGAGAAACGCTGGGCTGGAAGAAGCACAAGCTGGAATCAAGATTGCCAAGAGAAATATCAATAACCTCAGATATGCAGATGACACCATCCTTATGGCAGAAAGTGAAGAGAAACTAAAGAGCATCTTGATGAAAGTGAAAAAGGAGAGTGAAAAAGTTGGCTTAAAACTCAACATTCAAAAAACTAAGATCATGGCATCTGGTCCCATCACTTCATGGCAAATAGATGGGGAAACAGTGGCAACAGTGACAGACTTTATTTTCTTGGGCTCCAAAATCACTGTAGATGGTGACTGCAGCCATGAAATTAAAAGACGCTTGCTCCTTGGAAGAAAAGTTATGACAAACCTGGGAAGCATATTAAAAAGCAGAGACATTATTTTGCCAACAAAGGTCCACATAGTCAAGGCTATGGTTTTTCCAGTAGTCATGTATGGATGTGAGAGTTGGACCATAAACAAAGCTGAGCACTGAAAAATTGATGCTTTTGAACTGTGGTGCTGGAGAAGACTCTTGAGAGTCCCTTGGACTGCAAGGAGATCCATTCAGTCAATCTTAAAGGAAATCAATCCTGAATACACATTGGAGGGACTGATGCTGAGGCTGAAACTCTAATACTTTGGCCACTTGATGAAAAAATCCGACTTATTGGAAAAGACCCTGATGCTGGGAAAGATTGAAGGCAGGAGGAGAAGGGGACGACAGAGGATGAGATGGTTGGATGGCATCACTGACTTGATGGACATGAGTTTGAGTAAACTCCAAGAGTTAGTGAAGGCCAGGGAGGCCTGGCGTGCTGCAGTCCATGGGGTTGCAAAGAGTCAGACACGCCTGAGCGACTGAACAACAACAACGACAAGAAAGTAACACAAAGCTGTAAAGTACTTCAATTTAAAAAAAGTTAAGAAAAAATAAAAGCTCCCCAGGTGATGGCAGGATGCTGCCAAGGTTGAGAACTAGGGGTCAGTTTCAACCACTTTCCACAAATGAGTACATGGAGGTCAGTGCAAACAAACGGCTGCAACATGTGCATGAATTGGCTGCAGTCGATCTCCAACGCGCTCTCACAGGATGGAGCTGGGGCATGGATAATGAATAATCTAAAAATAATTTCTGTGTGGTTTGGGAAAGCAGCACGTGACTTCCCAGCCGCCGACTGGCCTGGCTAATTCAGTTTGACTCAAATGAATGCGCCTTTTCCTAGTTTTGCACGGACAGCCCAGGCCTGTGCTGAGGTGTGGGAGGAAGTGGGCGAGTCAAACGCTGGCCACGGCCCAGCTTCCCAAGGGGGACAGACAAGCTGTCAGAGGCACACGAGTCACTGCACGGACTCGGGGACATTTCTTACCGCAGTGGGGGCAGGGCTCCATGTGGGTCTGGGGGCCGCAGGCAAAAGAGGGGGTGAAGGGAGACGGGCTACTTGTGATCAGAGTGCGCCCTTGAGCGCGGCTTCCTGCGAAGCGTTTCTATAAACACACGTGCTCCAGGCAACTCTGAGTTAGGTGTTCCATTGCCTCCCCCATTACAGAGATGTGGAAACTGAGGCTCAGAGGGGTGTAACCGGCAACGCAGAGGAAGATGCAAACTCGCGCTCTACCCAAGAGGACAGTCCCGGTCCAAAGCTGAAAAAAGAGCCGCTGAGAGACCTGGGTCAGATCCTTAGATTTTTAGGTCTTGCTGAACGAAGCACAGAGTCAGACACGACTGAAGCGACTTAGCAGCAGCAGCAGAACGAACTCTGTCCCCCTTATTATTCAGCTCAAACAATCTTCAGTAGAGAGACCAACAGAGGCGGCCCGTGGCGGCGGCACGGACGGAGAGTCCGAGCGAGGCTCCCCGAAACCTGCGCGCAGCATCCGCGCTGCTGCACCCCTCCCGGGTCTGCGCCGGAAGCTTCCTGGCACTGCGCGGCGGCCAGGGTGCTCCCAGCCAGCCTTGCCGCCTCTCTCCTTCCCTGGGGTCTGGTCTGCATCGCGTCTGACGGCCCTCCCAGCGTTCCCAGCCCCCCCTGTGTTCTGTCACACAGACGTTTCCCGTAATCAGATTCTCGCATGCTTAATGCCATCTCGGCATCTCTCCCCGCTGGGGCCCCGACCAGGCACGCACAGGAGGAGGTAGGCAGCCAAGGAGGTCGGCTCCTGCTGATTCACCTGGGGCCCTTGGCCTGAGATTTTGAAGGCACAGATGACAGAGGCAGGACGTTGCCTGCATCCCTGGCCTTGGTGCCGTGAAGGAGCGAAGTTGAGGTAGCGAGTAACTGATCAGCACTCCCGGAAGTCTAAGCCAAGAGGTCAGTTTTTCTCTCCAGCGACCACAAGCACAAAAAACTGGGATTCTTTCCCCATCTTGTTATGGCCTTTGGGGAAGATATTCGAGCCCTCCAGCCTCAGTAACACCTGGTGGGGAGATTTCTTGCCATCTTTTGTTCCTCCTGAAGGAAGAAAGGACATCCTGATTCTAAACATCTAGAGGAAAGCGGTCCGGGCCAACAGTCACCAGGATCATTTAGCATTGCTCTGGAAGTACTAGCCAGTGCCACCAAATGACAGAAAGGAAGAAGGGGTTTGAGGGAATTCACTAAGGTGTGGAAATGATACACAAAATATGCAAACAGCAGCCAAGCATAAATAGAGTGGAAGATAAGAACTTATTTACAATAGTGACAAAACAGATTAGCATCTGTGTTCTTAGTCACTCAGTCCTGTCTGACTCTTTGCGACCCCATAGCGTATAGCCGGCCAGGCTCCTCCGTCCATGAGAATTTCCCAGGCAAGAATACTGGAGTGGGTTGCCATTTCCTTCTCCAGGAGATCTTCCTGACCCAGGAATTGAACCTGGGTCTCCTGTACTGCACACAGACTCTTTACCGATTGAGCTACGAGGACGTCTAGGAACCAGTATAACAAATGTTGCGTGGTGCCAATACTATGAGAACTTTAAACTCCACTGAGGGACAGAAAAAAATAATAAATTCAAAGATACCTCATTCTTGAACAGAAATAATATTTTAAGATTCACTAATCCAAACATTCATTTCAGATTTAATATTTAAAAGAATATTTAATAAGTATCCGTTTACTGCCACTCTGTATTAACTGCATTAGCTTATTTTCTGTAATTCTGATGCTTTGACATCTGGGTCTTGCTGGCCCCAGCAAAAGGGGCCTAGGAGTCCCTGCGAGGGACTGCCCCTTCCAGGTTAACGAGTTCCCGGGGAGCAAACAACTCTTTTACATGCAAATCCATCCTGAGCCCGTCATCTCCACCTCCCTCTATCACACTCTGCATTGGGCCTCACATTCCAGGCTTCCATCCCCATCCCTAATCACCGCGGGGTCCAGATGCCCGGGGCACCCTGGAGCCCATGGATATTGTTCAAACTGGCCAAGCCTAACCCTGCTTACTCTGCCTCCCCTCTTTCTTCCCAAGGGAGGGACAGGAAAGGCCTCCACTGTGCACCCCCTCTTTCTCAGAGACCACCCTCAATGCCTCCCCGCAGCCTCTCCAGAACCGTGAGCAAGAACCCAGCTTTACCTGTTGGCCTTGCTGTCATCGGCAGTTCTTCTATTAATGCACTGAATTTTAAAATGGACCCCAGTGGAAATAGGAGCCTTTTGTGCTACTAGACTTAACACAGAATAATTCAATGGAGGAAAGCCTGTGAACTTCGAAGAAGAATGACGTAGGCAGGGCGGAGGGGAGACAGGACTCAGCTGGAGCGGTGGGGGTGGAGTGGGGTGGGGGGGGCATGGCGCTGAGCTGTGCAAGGGAGTCGGGAGTGGGGCGATGGATCAGCCCACAGGACTCACGTGTGAAAGAAGTATGTATTTCCAGGAACTCTGCTTTACTTTTGACCTCCATTTTGAAAAGGTAGGAATCTGGCCCAGGTCTGTCCGGGTTCTTGTGGCCCATCCCCACCCCTACCCGGCTCTAAGGATGGTTCAGCTCAGTTCAGTCGCTCAGTCTCGTCCGACTCTTTGCGACCCCATGGACTGCAGCACGCCAGGCCTCCCTATCCATCACCAACTCCCGGAGTTTTCTCAAACTCATGTCCATTGAGTCGGTGATTCCATCCAACCATCTCATCTTCTGTCGTCCCCTTCTCCTGCCTTCAATCTTTCCCAGCATCAGGGTCTTTTCAAATGAGTCAGCTCTTCTCATCAGGTGGCCAAAGTATTGGAGTTTCAGCTTCAACACCAGTCTTTCCAATGAATATTCAGGACTGATTTCCTTCATGATGGACTGGTTGGATCTCCTTGCAGTCCAAGGGACTCTCAAGAGTCTTCTCCAACACTACAGTTCAAAAGCATCAATTGTTCTGTGCTCAGCTTTCTTTATAGTCCAAATCTCACATCCATACATGACTACAGGAAAAACCATAGCTTTGACTAGACAGACCTTTGTCAGCAAAGTAATGTCTCTGCTTTTTAATATGCTGTCTAGGTTGGCCATAACTTTTCTTCCAAGGAGTAAGTGTCTTTTAATTTCATGGCAGCAGTCACCATCTACAGTGATTTTGGAGCCCCCAAAATAAAGTCTGTCACTGTTTCCATTGTTTCTCCATCTATTTGCCATGGAGTGATGGGACTGGATGCCATGATCTTAGTTTTTTGAATGCTGAGTTTTAAGCCAACTTTTTTCACTCTCCTTTTTCACTTTCATCAAGAGGCTCTTTAGTTCTTGTTCACTTTCTGCCATAAGGGTGGTGTCATCTGCATATCTGAGGTTATTGATATTTCTCTTGGCAATCTTGATTCCAGCTTGTGCTTCTTCCATTTCTCATTAGGTACTCTGCATATAAGTTAAATAAGCAGGGTGACAATATACAGCCTTGATGGACTCCTTTCCCAATTTGGAACCAGTCTGTTGTTCCATATCCAATTCTAACTGTTGCTTCCTGACCTGCATACAGGTTTCTCAAGAGGCAGGTCAGGTGGTCTGGTATTCCCATCTCTTTCAGAATTTTCCACAGTTTATTGTGATCCACACAGTCAAAAGGTTTGGTATAGTCAATAAAGCAGAAATATGTGTTTTTCTGGAACTCTCTTGCTTTCTTGATGATTCAGTGGATGTTGATCTCTGGTTCCTCTGCCTTTTCTAAAACCAGTTTGAACATCTGGAAGTTCACGGTTCATGTACTGTTGAAGCCTGGCTTTTAGAATTTTGGGCATTACTTTACTAGCGTGTGAGATGAGTGCAATTGTGCAGTAGTTTGAGCATTCTTTGGGATTGCCTTTCTTTGGGATTGGAATGAAAACTGACCTTTTCCAGTCCTGTGGCCACTGCTGAGTTTTCCCAATTTGCTGGCATATTGAGTGGAGCACTTTCACAGCATCATCTTTCAGGATTTGAAATAGGTCAACTGGAACTCCATCACCTCCACTAGCTTTGTTCGTAGTGATGCTTCCTAAGGTCCACTTGACTTCACATTCTAGGATATGTGGCTCTAGGTGAGTGATCACACCATCGTGATTAACTGGGTTGTGAAGATCTTTTCTGTACAGTTCTTCTGTGTATTCTTGCCGTCTCTTCTTAATATCTTCTGCTTCTGTCAGGTCCATACCATTTGTGTCCTTTATTGAGCTCATCTTTGCATGAAATATTCCCTTGGTATCTCTAATTTTCTTGAAGAGATGTCTAAGATGGGAAAGAGTCTTTCCCATTCTGCTGTTTTCCTCTATTTCTCTGCACTAATTGCTGAGGAAGGCTTTCTCATCCTTCCTTGCTAAGGGTGGTGGGGCTTGTCTAACCCAGGCCCCAGGGCTGACCTTTGATACCCGATGGCTCACCCTATCCACACTGCACCCTCAGAGTTGCCTGCTGCAGCTTTTGTGACATAAACCTCTCCTGGGCCTCCACCCTTGCCAGAAAACGCCTGTGACGTCCGTGTTGTACATATCGCTACATGACATGTGGGACTAGATTCTTCATGGGGCAGCCCTCAGAGGAGCTTGCCAAAGACAGCGAGCGGATGCAGGCCCTGAGAGGAGGGTGGGCGGCATCTGGGTGCACAGATGCCTCAGTCGAGGCGGGAAGGGAGATGGGGGTTCAATTCACCACGAATACCATGAGCAGTGAAGGAGGTGCTGTAGGAGGGCTGGGAGAGCGGACGGCTTCATGGAAGAGGTGACGCCATGTGGCACATAGGGCAGCACGCGGAGCCCTGGAGTGGAAATGGAGTGGCAGACCTCAGGCTGCAGCGACGCCGGGTCTGATTTCCTCAGCTCTCCCTGAGCTGTGAAGCATATGCTGGGACCAGAGAGTCAGGCTCAGGACAAACCCGCTAGCTATAGAGTAACCGCAGAGCCAGCTCGTGACACCTGGGAAGGAGACAGTGGATGATGCCGTCTCTGGTATTTCCAGGCCTGAGTCAAAATTGAAAGTGTTCCCTTCAAACTTTGAAACTGGAGATCCAAGTGTTTCTAGCTGGGCCTTTTTCCTCTGCTCCCTAACTGCAGGGGTAACTACACAACTGGTCCACCCCGGGTTCACTGACCAGCTAGCCAGCCTTGACCGCGAGAGGGCATGTGTGTGTACTGAGCCACTCAGCCGTGTCTGACTCTTGGAGACTCCATGGACTGAGAGGCTCCTCTGTGCATGGAACTTTTCAGTCAAGAATACTGGAGTGGGTTGCCATCTCCTGCTACGAGGGATCTTTCCCACCCAGGGATCAAACCTGCATCTCTTGCGTCTCCTGCACTGGCAGGCAGATGCCTCACTGAGTCTGGGTTGCCCCCATTATTCAGCTTAGCAGCCAACAAATGCAACTGGGAAACACCAGATGATTCAAACTGCATCTGTATACATTTCACTCTCCACAGCAGTCCGCACATTCTGTTTTATTAGGGTTTCTCCATCATAATTCCCACCTGGAATTTAACTGGGTTCCAACTTTCTTAATACATTCATAGGAAACTTCATCACAGTCACCCTTAAATCTACATTTGGCCATGTACCACCTCTTCATGGCACTGTAGTACTTCCCGTTGCCGAGAGAAATGTCTTAAAAACAGTAAAGGAAATTGGCGCAGCCACTGTGGAAAACAGTATGGAGATTCCGCAAGAAAACTAAAAATGGGACTACAATACAATCCAGAAATTCCACTTCTGGGTATTTAGCCAAAGAAAATAAAAGCATTCATTCAAAAAGATACATGCACCCGTATGGTCACTGCAGCATTATTTACAATAGCCAAGATACGGAAACAACCGCCATGTCCATTCATAGATGACTGGATAAAGAAGATGTGGTATTAATATAATGCTACTCAGCCATTTAAAGAACGAGGTCTTGCCATTTGCAACAACAAGGACTGACCTGGAGGATGGCATGCTAAGTGAAATAAGTCAAACAGAGAAAGATAAGAACGATTTCACTTACATATGGAATCTAAAAACCAAAAAACAAATTAACAAACAAAATACAACAGATTCACAGGTACAGAGAACCAACTGGTGGTTGTCAGAAGAAAGTGAGGTGAAGGACAGATAAAAGGGGGGACAAAGTTTAAAAGGTAAAATCTTTCAGCTATTGGAGAGGGTGTGGAGAAAAGGGAACCCTCTTACACTGTTGGTGGGAATGCAAACTAGTGCAGCCGCTATGGAGAACAATGTGGAGATTCCTTAAAAAACTGGAACTAGAACTGCCATGCGACTCAGCAATCCCACTGCTGGGCATACACACTGAGGAAACCAGAAGTGAAAGAGACACATGTACCCCAGTGTTCATCGCAGCACTGTTTACAATAGCCAGGACATGGAAGCAACCTAGATGTCCATCGGCAGACAAATGGATAAGAAAGTTGTGGTATATATACACAATGGAATATTACTCATCCATTAAAAAGAATGCATGAGCATATAACATACACACAGGCAACATAATATTGGAACAGCTTTTCATGGTGAATGATAGTAATTGGTGTTACCATGGTGACCATTTCATCATGTATAAAAATACTGAATCACTATATTATACATTTGAAACATGGAGTTTCTGTAGTGTAGTGGTTATCATGTTCGCCTCACATTTGAAACTAATACAATATTGTATGGTACTTATAATTAGAGGTAATAAAAGAGCAAATATATGTCTGGAAGCAATATTATTTTTATTTTCCTTTGAGGTACAAAATTCTATTATTTCTTTGTAATAGATTTGAGACTCTTTTCTCTATAGAAAATACACTCCAGTCACGTAATAAGCTGAGCTACTCCAAAGGTGCACACAAGAAATAACCATAGAAGATATCCAGTTTCCAAACATGATGAATTCTCAGTCAACTATCATCCAGTGAGTAGGTGGCTGTTTAAGGATGTAAAAACACACAGCCCCTGTTTTCCAGAAAATGACCCATCTGTTTGGGAAATAAGACCACTTATTTGCAAAGTGAAACCACGCTGCTAAATAGGACACAATTCCAGCCAGTGTTCACCCGTTTTCTAAAGGGGCATCTTCCTAAAACACAATGGCATTTATTGAGAGTCTTCTATATGCCAGGCACTGTGCTTCTGGCTGATTCTTTGAACCCCTAGACAACCCCCTGAAACATGAAAGTTTGCGAAAGAATACTATCAATAGCAAAAGAGTCGGACATGACTTACTGACTGAAACAACAAAATTAGTAGAGGAACTAATCTGATAAATCATTTCTGAGCCTGAATTCTGAGCTTTCCTAAATCAAGGAAACAATCATAATCTTTCAAAGTTCAGTTTTTATGAGGCACTGGGGTATTCAACATGCTAAGGTCACCTACGAATATTCCTTATGAAACTAGGGGATATGAAAACGTTTTACCAAGTAAACTTGGACTATTGATCAACAGATTCATTTCAGAGGGGCTTGATGAGTATCTCTTCCTTCTAAGGAACGATCCCAATGAGGAAACCAATTTCAAGATCCCATTTATAAAACAGGCAGTCAGTGGACAGTGCTCCTGGACTAATCTGGTCTTTACATGTTCAGACGGACCTCCGATCAGCCTATTAACCTGCCAACTTTTTTCTCTCGAGATAATATGACTAGAAAACGCACCCCTAAATGACATCGAGTATCCCGATTTATATGGTTCAGCTCACAAATATTCTTCAAGCCCTGCACCTTTTAGGGAAAGCTTGTATTGCTCACAGCCTCCAGAGGCAGCATCCACGGGGAGCACGGAAGACCCGGCGAGATGAGTGGGGCCACCCACTCTCTGCCCACACTGCAGCGTGCATCACCGAACTCCATCAGGGGGCCTGCCGGGGCGGCGGGGGGCGGGGGGCCTGATCTTGGGGGCTTCTCAGCTGAGACCACATCTCCCTGCAAGCATCTCCTCAGCTCATACCTCCAAGCTGGAGGCCACCGCTTTGTGGAGGTCACTTAGGCCCCTAACAAGCCAATGGATGGATACAAGTCCGATGTGTATGACACAGTCAAACTAGTTGAACTGAGATATAAAGTCCTATACCCCAATTCATATATAGGATTGCAGATAATAAACAAGAACGACTCTGAAAATAAGTGATACTTTCCATTTCTAGTATTTTATTAAAACAGTATCTGTTTCTGAGAATACAATTATATAATTATTTTCATTTTAAAATCTTATACAAGTAGGAAAAAAACATATGAAAAGGAAAAATTACTTAAATACCATCACCAAGATATACTAAAATTTTGGTTTACTTCGTACCCTTTTTTCTCTATGTGGATTATCTGTGAATGAGTAAAGATGTATATATCCTGACCTGAACCCATCCATTTTTGTAGCTGTTGACTGTGCTCAGTCACATCTGACTCTTTGGGACCCCATGGACTCCCACCAGACTCCTCTCTGTCCATGGGATTTTCCAGGCAAGAATACTGGAGTGGGTTGCCATTTATTTCTCCATTAATAAACATTCTCTTCAACACAAATTTGACTTTATGATGTTGAAAAATCATAACTTATGTAACTGATGTCTTATTATTAAACACTGGAGTTGTTCCTAAATAAAACGATGCTGAATGGGTTTACAAATAAATATTTGACCCAATATTTTATTATTTCTTTAAAATACATTCTTGAAATATGCCCACTGGGTCAAAAGGTATGGGGTATGAACATTTTATGACTGTGAATACAAACACTGCTGGAATTCCTCAGTGAAATTTGGACCCATTTCAGCACAGCACTCTCCTCTTCCCTTCACCCTCACCAAATGCTGAAAACTATAATTTAAAAAGTACTTTGCCAAGGAGCTGGGGTATCAAAGAGGTTTTTAAGTTTAACTTACATACTCATTTGTATTCATGCTCATACTCTGACTGATCATTTGCTTTTTTCTATTAATTATACATTCATGCCCTTTGCCCATTTTTTGACTAGTACATTAACAGTTTTCTTATCTACAAGAGTTTTTTATATATTAAGGCTGTTGATTGTTGCTCTCAATGTGGTACACATACACTAAGGCTGATTATCCAAATATACCCTGAAGTTATTAGTTTGGGTGTGATGTGACTTCTCCTTTGGTTTAATAAGTTCTTTACAGAAAAATAAAACACACATTCAACTTATAGTGTAGAACAAGGCCCATCAAACCCTGGGCAGACTAAGGTACAAAGTGTTCAGTGGACAAACCACAAGGCAGAACTAGTCCAGGTACTCTAACTCACTGAACATGCCTCTCGGTATACAGTTCTTGAAGCTTTTTTTGTCTGAAGAGGTTTCTAAAAGATATGTGACACTAAGAATGGATTTATTTAAAAGAATATTTATGTGTAATTCAATAGTTAGGCAGTCACAATACAATGTAATTAACCCCTTCTTCCATCTGTAAATGGTTATTTCTGTGGTAGGATATACTGCTAACTTTTTATATTTTTAATCAATTCCTGCACTATAAAATGTCATTTAGAAATGTTTTATTTAGTTTTTACATGACAATTTTAACATTAGAGTAATTTTGTTGTGAAAAATAAAGTTCCATCTTGTAGGAAAGAGTGAGTCTTCAGGTCACTCACTGGCACCTTTATTACAGGTTGGACTTGGTCAGCCAGTGAAAATCCTGGAAACAGAAACAGCAGCAAATAGTCAGCCGAGAGAAATGACCATGTCAAACTGCCTCCTACTGGCTCGCTCCAAAATCTCAAGTCCCATTATAACGGCACTAGCCACAGTGGGGGTGAATAAAGTTTATCTCTGATCCAGAGCTTTTCCTAAAAAGGAGCTAACAATCCATTAGTGAATCTTCTGTCTCATCCTACAAAACAACCTAATATCATTTTCTGAATCTTGCCCCATTAATAATACTCAGGGTACACACAAAAAAACTATAGAATATGAAAGAAGCAGAAATACATGCAAAAGAAGAGAGAAATTTCCAGAACAGAAATATGTAGAAAACAAACTTATGGTTTGTCATTGTTTAGTTGCTCAGTTGTGTCCAACTTTGCGACCCCATGAACTGCAGCACACCAGGCTTCCCTGTCCATCACCATCTCCCGGAGCTTGCTCACACTCACATCCATCGAGTCAGTGATGCCATCCAACCATCTCATCCTCTGTCGTCCCCTTCTCCCCCCGCTTTCAATCTTTCCCAGCATCAGGGTCTTTTCCAGTGAATGAGCTCTTTGCATCAGGTGGCCAAAGTATTGGAGCTTCAGCTTCAGCATCAGTCTTTCCAATGAATATTCAGGGTTGATTTCCTTTAGGATGGACTGGTGTGATCTCCTTGCTGTCCAAGGGACTCTCAAGAGTCTTCTCTAGCACCACAGTTTGAAAGCATCAATTCTTTGCTTCTCAGCTTTCTTTAAGGTCCAACTCTCACATCTGCACATGACTACTGGAAAAACCACAGCTTTAACTAGATGGACCTTTGTCAACAAAGTTAATGTCTCTACTTTTTAATATGCTTTGTCATAGATTTTGTTCCAAGGAGCAAGCGTCTTTTAACTTAATAGCTGCAGTCACTGTCCACAGTGATTTTGGAATCCAAGAGAATAAAGTCTGTCACCGTTTCCATTGTTTCCCATCTATTTGCCATGAAGTGATAGGACTGGATGGCACGTTCTTAGTTTTTTGAATGCTGAATTTTAAGCCAGCTTTTTCACTCTCCTCTTCCAACTTCATCAAGAGGCTCTTTAGTTCCTGTTCCCTTTCTGTCATGAGGGTGGTGTCATCTACTTATCTGAGGTTATTGATATTTCTCCCAGCAATCTTGATTCCAGCTTGTGGTTCATCCAGCCCAGCATTTCGCATGATGTACTCTGCATATAAGTTGAGTAAGTAGGGTGACAGTATACAGCCTCGACGTACTCCTTTCCCAATTTGGAACCAGTATTCTGTTCTTCCATGTCCAATTCTAACTGTTGCTCCTTGACCTGCATACAGGTTTCTCAAGAGGCAGGTAAGCTGGTCTGGTATTTCCATCTCTTTAAGGATGTTTCAGTTTGTTGTGATCCTATTGCTATGAACTTCTTAGACCTGCTTTTGCTGCAGCCCATAAATTTTGATATATTGTATTTCCATTTTCATTTGTCTCAGACATTAAAAAAATTTTTCTTTTTATTTCTTCTTCGACCCCTTTGCTACTCAGTAGCATGTTGTTTCAGCTCCACATTTTCTAGTTTTCTTTTGTAATTGATTTCAAGTTTTACACTATAGTGGCTGAAAAAGATACTTTGTATGACTTTATTCTTAAATTTATGAAGATCTGTTTTGTATCCTAACATATGCTCTATCCTGGAGAATTTTTCATGTGCACTTGAAAAGAATGTGTATACTGCTGTTTTTGAAAGGAATGTTTTGAATATGTATGTTATCGACTGGGGAGTTTTTGCAGAAACTAACACCTGTGGCCAATGATTTGTCATGGAAGTGTATACTGAAATGTTTTCAGACAGTAAGTTAAGTCCATGTGTTTAAATGTGTCATTTAAGGTTGATGTTTCCTAACTGATTTTGTGTTTGGATAAGCTATCACTGATGTAAATGGATGTTAAAGTTCCCGAATATTATTATATTGATGTCTCTTTCTCTTTAGGTCTGTAAATATTTGCTTTATATCCATGTGTATGTGTGTAGTTTCCTATGTTGTATGCATATTTACAAATGTTATGTCCTTTTGTTGGATTGACTCCTTTATTATTAAATAATGCCCTTCTTTTTCTCTTATTACAGTCTTTGTTTTGAAGTCTATTTTATCTGATGTAAGTACAGCTACTCTAGCTTTCATCTGGTTTCTATTTGCATGAATTATTTTTTTCCATCTCTTTATTTTCAGTCTGTGTGTATTCTTATAACTGAGAGTCTCTTATAGGCAGCATACAGATGTGTCTCTTATCCATTCAGCCACTCTATTTTTACTCAAGAACTTAATACATTAATATTTAAAGTAATTACTGATAGGTATGTACTTATTGCCATTTTGTTCTTTTCTGGCTGTTTTACAGTTCCCCTTTATTCCTTTTACCGAAGTCCTTGATATCTGTTTTATAAAACAGAATTTCAGTACAATTCTGTATGTTCCATAGATTCCAAATAAGTTAATTCACATTTCATTTACTACCTGGTGTCCACTTTGCCCATTTGTCCACTGCCTTGTTCAAAACAGAAAAAAATCTAAGAGCAGATTTATAAAGAACCAGGACAAAAACTACTTGAAAAAATATACAAAACATTGAAAACAACAGCTGATATGCAAGGTGTAAGCTTGAAGGCCAGGTATATAAGAGAAAGCAAAAGTAGCTGGACCAGGATCAAAATACAAAGCTAAGTATGACAAGCAACTTATTCTGGAATGGAACAGGAACGTACTATAAACTTCATCATTTATTTTACTGCTATAGTCTATGCTGCAGTTTTGCTTTAGGAGCCAAAGTAACTAACTTTGAATATAGTTGCCCAAATTACCCTATTATATAATCTCATCTCCTATTGAGCCTATCTCCACTCTCCGCCTTCCAGCCACTGTGGCCTCCTTTCAGCTCCCTGGACTTGCCACGCCCTGTCCTGCTAAAGAGCCTGCGCACAGCGTTCTTCTCGCTTCTCTGCTGAGCATGTCCTACCTCCCTGCTTATCCTTCAGCTCTCAATTTAAGCATCACTTCTGAGAAGACTTCCTCGTGACTCCAGTATAAACTGAATTCCTTTGTGGGTTTTTTTGTTTGTTTTCAAATTTATTTTATTGAAATATACTTAGTTGATTTACAGTGCTGTGTTAATTTTTGCTGAATAGCACAGTGATTCCATTATACCTGTATATAGATAACCTTTTTCATATTCTTTTCCATTATGGCTTATAACAGAGTTTTGAACATAGGTTCCCTGTGTTATACAGTAGGACTATGTTGCCTACCCACTTTATATATAACAGTTTGCACCTGCTGATCCTAAACTCCCAGTCCATCCCTTCCCTCTCGCCCTTCCCTGTGGCAACCACAAACCTGCTCTCTGTATCAGTCCGCTTCTGTTTCACAGGTAAGTTCATTTGTGTCAAATTTTAGATCCCACCTACAGATGATCCCATACAGCATTTGTCTTTCCCTTTCTGACTGACTTCACTTCATATGAGCATCTCTAGGTCCTCTCATGATGCTGCAAATGCATAACCTTGTTCCTTTTCACAGCTGAGTAATGTTTCATTGTATACAGGTTCTACATTTTTTATCTATTCATCTCTTGATGGACATTTAGGTTGCTTCCACGTCTTCATTATTCCAAATAATGCTGCAGTGAACACTGGGGTGCATGTATCTTTTCAAATTATGGTTTTTATCAGATATACGTCCAGGAGCAGGATTGCTGGATCATATGGCAACTCTATTTCTACGTTTCTGAGGAACTTCCCTACTGCTTTCCACAGCGGCTGCAACACTTTACACCTCCATCAATAGTGTAGGAAGGTTCCCTTTCCTCCACAACTTCTTGGATTCCTTTGTTTTATGTTTATTCAGAACTGGGTTTCTTTCCTTCAGAGGAATTGCCTCACTCTACTGTGATACATTCTACTTGAGAGGTGACGAACTGTACTTTCTGACTGGACAATAAACTCCATGAGGTGAGAACCGAGCCTAGCTTTGCTCACTAAGCTATTCTTAGCACCTGACATAGCGCATCTAATACCTATCTTAACAAATACTCATTGAACAAACAGATGACAGTAACAAACTCAGAAATGGTTTACACAGAACTCTGTAAATAAGAGGGTGTTCTCTTTGGTAAATACTTCTGGGGGTGGGCTGAGAGATGCATTTCTGCTTTCCGCTTAGCAACTGTGTTTACCTGGGCTTTCCGAGTGGCTTGTGGCTCAATCATGATGTTGATGAGGGAGGGATTAGTTGTGTCTGCCAGGCTCTGCCTCAGGGATTTCTGGAGTTCTTCTGGTGTTTGTACAAAATACCCTTTGCCTCCAAATGCAGTCATGACATGCTCATACTGTGAGTGGGGCAGAAGACATATTGGAGGGACCCTGAAAAAGAAGGTCATAGTCAACAGAAAAGATTGTCTGAAATAATTTGTGGGAAAATTTCAGCTAAACTGAAAGGCATACTTTTCTGTAAACTGAGATGCCTGTACATTAAACTTTCCATACATTTTTTATTGTCTATGTGACAATGTCTAATGAACTTTCCATGATGATGGAAATTTTTTTATCTGTTCTGTCCAATATAGTAGCTACTAGTGACCTGCTGCTCTGAGCACTTTAAATGTGACTAGTTAAAAAGAGGAACTGAATTTTTAATTTAAACTTAAACAGCCCGTATGTGGTTAGTAGCTACCTTGCTGGACAATGTAAACTATACCATCAACTATTATGAATCCCTCTCCTCATAAAAAAGAAGAAAAAAGGAATGATTACTACAAAACAGCAAATAACAACAGAACAACAAAATCAGCAAGGCTTAAGAAACATACCCATGCCCTGATCCCAGATTCACACCTCTCATATCCCACTGCCAGCCACAGTACTGTCTCAGTGTGACTCTGGCATCAGATGACCAAGATTTAGCTAAGTGGTAAAAGGAAGGAAGATCTCTGTAGCACAAACAACATGTAAACGTCTATATTCCTATACTGTATAGTAGGAATAGTAGGACTAGGAGCATTTTGCAATAAGCTTTTTTGTTAACAAGGCTTAGACATCAAACTCAGTCACCTGAGACTTCAGTGGCTCCCTGACCATAAACTATTCATTGAAGTGCCAATCAAGGATGGTTGTGCAAAAAGGAACCATGCAGAGCTTCTACCCTGTAGAGCAGCTGACTGTGAAAAGCAGCAATATTTACACCATGCAAGCACATTCCAGTACAGTACACTTTTTAAATAGAGATTAAACTAGATGAGAAAAGTAAATATGTGCTGTTCTGGGTTACTTACACTGTAGTAGCATCTCCAAATTTTAACATTTCCTTCCAACTATCTGTATCAAAACCTTGATAAATTCCATTATTATTCACCACCAAAAGTACAATTGGCAAGCTGTACCTAAAATTGAGAGCAAAATATAAAGGAAATCATTTTCCACTCTAATGCAATTCTTTTCATTGGATTAAAATTTTCCCTTGAAAATGGACAGTTTTCCATAAGTTGTTTTGTAGTATGAGGGTAAGACTAAAAATTAAGCATTTGTTATCCTAGTGAAAGTGAAAGTTGCTCAGTTGTGTCTGACTCTTTGGACTGCGACCCCATGGACTGTGTAGCCTGCCGGGCTCCTCTGTCCATGGGGTTCTCCAGGCAAGAATACTGGAGTGGGCTGCCATGCCCTTCTCCAGGGGTCTTTCCAATCCGGGGATGGAACCCCAGTCTCCTGCACTGCAGGCAGACTCTTTACCCTCTGAGCTATCAGGGGAACCTTAATAAAGATTATCAAATTATTAACAGAAATATCATGTAGCAGTAGAAAGAATGAAAGGTTAGTGCTTGGCAGACTGGTCCTACCACTATGCAGCTGTGAACCTTGGGCAAATCACCGAGTTTTTCTGAACCTTGGTTTTCACAGATCTAGGGGCTAACAAGAATGACACCTTCCATATTTAATCCCCGCTGAAGCACCTAGATTACTTCAACTGTTCCTCACAACTGTCCATTAAGGTAGGAACTAGTATGATTCCTATTCCTGTTTTAGAGGAGACTGAAGTTTGGTTAAGAGACTTATTTTGGGTCTTGGCGGTATAGCCAGCATTTAAATAATCCAGGCCATCTGACCCAGAGGCTGTGCTCTTAACCACCAAGCTCTGCTATCTCCCCAAAGAGATCAAGATTTTCTCAGACCAGAACTTTCTTTCAGTGACCTAAAAACTACTCCCCTGATTTGCATTAGGCAAGTGGGTCTTGGGTATAATTTTTCATATTTCAGAGAAAGAAATGCCCTGATTCAGGATGCTTTTTTACCTGCACATGGTTTCTACTTCCATGCCAGAAAATCCAAATGCACTGTCTCCTTCCACACAGATGACCCGCTGCCCTGGGTTTCTATCTTTAGCCACTATAGCAGCTGCAATGGCAAATCCCAAACCGACTCCCATTGTTCCAAAAGTACCAGCATCAAGTCTGTTGGGGAACAGGGCTAAAATGAAACTCTCTGGGAACATCACAGATGGTGTGGTTGGCACAAATCTAGTCATATCCACATGGCTCACGGAACAATACAATAAAAACATTCTCCTTAGTATTAAGACTGTGAGAAACTAATTTGTTACGGATAAGCAGAACGAATGGGAAAAATCACCTATGATTGCTTGGAAGACTACGAATATATCCTCAGAACACAGAGTACACAAATTATCACATGACCTCAGGACACACCAAGCATTGTTGTTCAGTCGCTAAGTCGTGTTTGACCCTATGGATTGCAGAATGCCAGGTTCCTCTGTTCTCTGCTATTTTCTGGAGTTTGCTCAAATTCATGTCCATCGAGTCAGTGATGCCATCCAACCATCCTATTCTCTGCCAGTCCCTTCTCCTTTTGCCTTCAATCTTTCCCAGCAGCAGTGTCTTTTCCAGTGAGTTGGTTCTTCGCATCAGAGGGCCAAAGCATTGGAGCTTCAGCTTCAGCATCAGTCCTTCCAATGAATATGCAGGGTTGAATTCCCCTAAGACTGACTGGTTTGATCTCCTTGCAGTCCAAGGGACTCTCGGAATCTTCTCCAGCACCACAATTTGAAAGCATCAATTTTTTAGCACTCAGCCTTCTTTATGGTCCAACTCTCACATCCACACATAACTACTGGAAAATTCATAGCTTTGACCATACACATCTTTGTTGACAAAGTGATGTCTCTGCTTTTAATATGCTATAGGTTTGTCACAGCTTTACTTCTAAGAAGCAAATGTTTTCTAAGTTGCCTCTTCAGTGCAACAGGCAGCTTGTCAGTCTCATGTGCTTGCTCTGATCCAAGCACAGAAATGCTCCAAAATCTCACCTAAAAATACATTTATTAAGTATGTCCTTATGGGCACACAGAATTCTCAAATGTTTTTATTAATTTGCTTTTTGTCATTTCTAATTTAACACATTATATAATTCATTATAGTTCCTTTTTTGGAAGCCTTACCTGTGGCGAGGAAGGTAGTTTTGAAGCACAGTGCGTCCAATATCCATAGTATTTGCTCCTTCACTCACCACAAAACAGTCTCTGGGTAGTTGTTCTTGAACATGGTGGAATACTGTGTAATAGTTCATAGGCAGAGATTTTTTGGAAGCTAATTCCTAAAATATTAGAGGGAAATATAATCAAATTAGATTAGGACACAATGAGAAAAAAAACATCAATAAGCTACTTTTGAACTGATTTGCAACAACTATTTAGGTTGGTGCAAAAGTAACTGTGGTTTTGAACTGCTGAACTTTGCTGTTCGATATAAATGTGGTTATGTTATACATCATTTTCATGTGCGTTTCGCACTTTATGTGTTTTTGCTTATGACATTACTTGCTGTTTATTTTATATTTATTTCAGACGAGGCAAATGATGTTAAGACAAAAAGCAAATCCAAGCGATTTTCTTATTCGAGTTCAAAATGGGTCATAAAGCAGCAGAGACAGCTCACAACATCAACACTTTTGGCCCAGGAGCTGCTAACAAATGTACACTGTGGTGGTGGTGCAGGAAGTTTTGCAAGGGAGACAAGAGCCTCGAAGATGAGAAGCGCAGTAGCCAGCCACCAGAAGTGGACAGCGGCCAACGGAGGGCAGTGCTCGCAGCTGACTGTGAGCCACCTCTTACACGGGAAGCTCGACAGCTCACTGTCGACCGCGCTACAGTCGCACAGAATTTGAAGCAAATTGGAAAGGCAAAAAACCTCAGTAAGTGGGTGCCTCTTGAGATGACCAAAAACCAAAAAAATTGTCACTTTGAAGTGTTGTCCTTTCTTATTCTATGCAACAACAACAAACCACTTTTTGATTGGACTGTGATGTGAGACAAAAAGTAGATTTTACATGACAACTGGCGATGACCAGCTCAGTGGTTGGGCCCAGAAGAAGCTCCAAAACTCTTCCCAAAGCCAAACTTGCACCAAAAAAAGGTCATGGTCACTGGTGGTCTGCTGCCCATCTGATCCATTACAGCTCTCTGAATCCCAGTGAAACCATTACATCTGAGAAGTCAGCTCAGCAAACCGATGAGATGCACTGAGAACTGCAGCACCTGCACCTGGTACTGATCAACAGAACGGGCCTAATTCTCCTCCATGACAACGCCCGACACATTTCACACAGCCCGTGTGTCCAAAGGTAACAAATAGCCTATGAAGTGTTGCTTCACCCGCCACGTTCACCTGACTTCCTGCCAACTGACTACCACATCTTCAAGTATCTTGACAACTTTTTGCAGGGAAAATGCTTCCATAACCAGCAGGAGGTAGAAAATGCTTCCCAAGAGTTCACTGAATCTCAAAGCATGGATTTGTATGCTACAGGCAAAAACAAACTTATTTCTTATTGGCAAAAATGTATTCATTGTAACAGGTCCTATTTTGATTAATAAAGATGTGTTCGAGCCTAATTATAATGATTTAAAATCTATGGTCCAAAACCACAATTACTTTTTCACCAACCTAATGTAAGCTATGAAATTCCCAAATGACCATCAGATGACCACTCTGAGAAGCTATCTGACTTGTATACAGTCCTATGGAACAGGCCAAGCAAAACAGGTCTCAGTCCCAATTTGGAACATAATCAAATAAGCCAGGAAATATCCCTCTTCCTGAAGATCCACAATGCACAGTAGCGTATTAAAGACCAAGACATCCCATAGTAAAGACAGCTAAAAACACTGGGTTAAGCAAAACTAAACAGTCTTATCTGAGCACTTTCAGGAAAACACTGCCTTAGAAAAAGTGAAAATTTTATTCTAGAAGATTTTCATCTAAAATATGGCCTTATATTAAAAATAAAAAATGAAGTTGGGGTTTTAGAAAATCTGAAAATCTACTCCTTCCCTACACATATCACTGGGAAGGAGCTATGCTTCACCCACTACTCTGGAGGGACTCTAAATGGAGGAGAAGACAGCAAGGGCAAGGTCCTTGTCTGGCCAAATGCCTTTAAGAGTATCAGCAACAGAGCCCCATCTCGTCCCAGCACTGCTTCTTCACCTGGACCACTTTCATTTGCTGGAGATTGTACCCAAGATGGATGAGGGACCCTCCTATACTCCTGCACCAGAGAAGACACGCAAGATCCTTCCATCTTAAACCAAGGTGATTCCTATAGAAGAGAAGGAATTAATCACAATCTCATTCAGGGAAAAGAAGTGTGACTGGCTCTGGATAGGAGAAACAGACACTGATTAAAATTCCAAAGAAAGAAAGAATCATGTATAATCAACTCTACTTGTTTGGGAAATGCAAATTTATTCCAAGACAATTGATATATTAGGGAACAATATAGGTATAGCTGGAATTTCATATTTGCTTATGCATGATTCTATCAGTTAGAAACAGTACACAAACACAGAAAACTGTACTCCGCTGAACCAAGATGCAGAGGAATACATAGAACTGTGGGGGGAAAAGTCAGGAACCACCTTTCTCACAATCAAAGAGAAAACACTGTCCATAAGTAAAGACTTTAAACAGAAACTGAAGAATTCTGCAGAAGTGGTACATTTTGGGGCTAACTTTGGATGGTTTGGTAATTTCATACGTTACTACAATTTCCAAAGCGTTTAGCTACCAGGTAGAGCCATGAGCAAAGACGAGGAAGTTGAGAAAGAATTTCCACCAGTGATACAAAAGTTTCAGTTGGAAAAGAAGGCTACAAATGGTCTCACTGACAGAACAGAATAGATCACAGCAGCATAACATACCGTAAGGTAACATGAAAGTGAGGGGATGATGTGTTAATTAACTAAATAGGGAGAATTCTTTCACAGTGTGTATGTATACCAAAGTACCATGATATACTTTACTTTATAATTTTATACTTTAATAAAATTGAAATTAAAAAAAAAAGGTGGCTATACATTAGATCAAATTTTCAATTTTGATGAAACACTTATTTAAATGAATGCCTTAAAGAACTTACACCTTAAAGGCAGAAAAACATGCCCCAACATGCCCCAGGATTTAAGGTTCCAAAAGATCTCCTGTGATTTGGTACCAAGGTCAAACTGAGGATTAGGAGCCACAGCCATCCACACTGACTCTTACTGCTCTGTCCAGTGTCAGATCCCCGCTTTCCACCGCTTTGCAGTAACTCACAAGCTGTAACCCTTTCAGTGCCCACTTTCACAAGAAACTCAGGTGCTGTATTTATTGTAATACATATATGAATGTGTGTGTACGTATATCATTTGCATGGTGATTTTAGGAATGCATATGTGTGCATGCTATGACAGAAGTAACAACCATGGACCTGCAGCGTTCTTGAATATCAGTGGGTCCCGTATTACCTTGCATAAAGCTTCATTGCTCTTCATTTTTTCTCTCAGAACTTTCCACCACTTGCTCTCAGGAGGATACTGCCATGGTGTTTTATCAAATTCTTCTAAAAGCTAAAAAAAAGAAACTTTTTCTTTCCTTTTTGAAAATAAGCTTAAATCATATTAGCATAAAAGTCTCTTCTAAAGAAGACAATACAGCTACACCATCCTACCCTTCACATCACTCATATTCTGTTTTTCCTCTTGGCAGTAAACAACTGATAGAAGATAAACAGGTACCACAGAAAGCCTCTGCTTAGTTCAGTGACAACCTCTGCCAGAAGCTGGGATTCCATAAGACAAAACAGAAGTGATGCCCCAAGCACACATCACAGGCAGGGGTGTTCATAAGTCCTCCTCTGCGTTTGGCACCAGAAGGAAAATCAAAGAACCTGGGCAAGAAGGTTCAGAGCCCTAATACCTAGGGATTCCCATGACACAGACCAAATGTTCCAGAGTGTTTTAATATGTGGTTGGGGATCACACCCTAATTTTGTGTAATGATGACTATGATACTAATTTAAATCCAAAGCCAAGTGATGTGCTATATTTTATCTCCTGTCACAGTGAAATGTATAAATTATATACAAATAATAAGAATCTGGATAAGTCACTGATAACAGCTTGAAGAGTAAAAATATCTTTATTGCCAAAAGAAGCACTAAGTTAGAATTTTTTCCAGTAGGTAAAGCCATTTCTTGGCTCTAAGTTCAGTTCCTCTGGAAGCTGTATTATAATCTTTCATATAGCTGGATCAGTTTGCCAACCGAATGCCTTTAAATTTTCACTCATTTCAAAAATGCTTAACTTACTCACATGATCTATATATAAGGAGTTGGATTTACCAAGTTCTATAGTTATATTTAAGAATAGCTTTCTATCATAAATTTTATTTTAGATATTAAAAGACCTGTTACCAAGTGAAACATTTTCAAGAACTGACTTCTGTTAAGACCAAGCCACATAAACTAGAACCTGGGCAAAAGCTCTCACCTGTTTAGTGACAGCATTTATGTCTCCAAGCAAGCTCACAGCAGGCCTTACATTATTCCCCAATTCTTCTGCACAGATATCAACCTAAAAAAAGAGACCAGGCTAAAGAATAAGCCATGTTTATTCTTAAAAATCATTAAAGAATCAAGACTGAATAAATGGACTGTGCATGTTACACATATGCATATGATTTAGATTCAATATTCAAGAAGTTCCTTAATAAAAGTAAAAATCCATAGAACTATATGAGTATCACGGCTAGCATAGAAACCTCACTAACTTCCCTCATTTTAAAATCTACTCTGCAGAACTTCAGTATTATTCTATTATACTCACAGGAATACATTTGAGTTGATCAATTATAGTGCTGAATAATAAGGTTATACTCAATTACACTAGAATTCATATTCAGAGCAGGAGCTCTCAAGTTCGAACATGTATCAGAACAACCTGGCAGGCTTGTTAAACCAGATCTGAAAGAGATACGTGCAACCCAATGTTAATCGCAGCACTGTTTATAATTGCCAGGACATGGAAGCAACCTAGATGCCCATCAGCAGATGAATGGATAAGGAAGCTATGGTACCTATACACTATGGAATATTACTCAGCCATTAAAAAGAATTCATTTGAATCAGTTCTAATGAGATGGATGAAACTGGAGCCCATTATACAGAGTGAAGTAAGCCAGAAAGATAAAGACCAATATAGTATACTAATGCATATATATGGAATTTTAAAAGATGGTAACGATAACCCTATATGCAAGACAGAAAAAGAGACACAGATGTACAGAACAGACTTTTGGACTCTGTGGGAGAAGGCGAGAGTGGGATGTTCTGAGAGAACAACATTGAAACAAGTATACTATCAAGGGTGAAACAGATCACCAGCCCAGGTTGGATGCATGAGACAAGTGCTCAGGGCTGGTGCACTGGGAAGACTCAGAGGGATGGGATGGAGAAGGAGGCAGGAGGTGGGGATCGGGATGGGGAACACATGTAAATCCATGGCTGATTCATGTCAATGTATGGCAAAAACCACTATGATACTGTAAAGTAATTAGCCTCCAACTAATAAAAATAAATGAAAAAAATAAATAAATAAAAATAAATCAGAGACTGCAAGAATCCACCTCAGAGTTTCTTCTCTCAAGAGGTCGAGGGTGGGGCCCCAAAATGTGGATTTCTAACAGACTTCCCAGTGGTGCTGAAACTGCTGGTCTGGGAACCACAATTTGAGAGCCACTCATTGGGAAAGGCTGGGAGACTAAGGGCAGGAGGAGAAGGGGGTGACAGAGGACGAGATGGTTGGGTGGCATCACCGACTCAATGCATATGAATTTGAGCAGATTCCAGGAGATAGTGAAGGACAGGAAAGCCTGGCGTGCTGCAGTCCAGTGGAGTCACAAAGAGTCAGACACGACTGAGCGGCTGAACAACAATCCAGGAAAAGCATGACTGTGCCCTATTTACTCAGAATTCTGCTCCATTTCTGGATGGCCATGGGTCAGTGAAGACAGCTTCCTGAGGAGTAGTAACTCAGGACGGACTCTATTCTGTAATAAAGAGGTGGCAGCATCTTCCAGTACAACCCAGGTCTTGTTTATCTGTGGCTTTAGTTTTCAACGGTCCCTGCTAGAAGTTGACTTAGGAAGTAAAAGGTAAACAGGGAGAAGACAGCATTGTAGCAAGGTCTTTATACAATCTATGTAGGGCAAATAGGTTTGTACACACACTAGTACTGGTTTTTCTACCAGTAGGGAAACCGGTTTATAAAGAAGGTCATAAAGATACAAAAGCTTATTCCAAACATTGTTTAATGACATAGCTGCACCATTGTTTAGAGGTTTCTATCCAAAGGGTGTTTGATAGTTTGGGAATCTAAAGAAACAACTCAATTCCTAATAGAGCTGAATGTTTTATTCTAATCGACCTCCTACTTGAAACTCTTTTGTCTACCTTGAAATATATCGGGACTCTGAAGAAGAGGTAAATTGTGCTTTTCAAACTATTTAAAACTTGATTTTGAAAGGTTTTCTGGTTAAAAGCAAAGTGAAACATTATGTTTCACAGGCTTGAAAAGGCAGCTCACTTTGGTACCTGCAATTATGGTAGACAATTTAAAAAATTCTACCTAAGTAAAAAGAGAAACAGTTCTTTATAAAAGTCAAGAAGAAAGCAGAGCTGGTAATGCTGAGAGAACAATAAAGGACACATAGCTTTGACTTTAAATCTCTCCTCTTTGAGTACCTGGATAAACTTCACATCTGGCTGATACCTTGGAGGCAGTCCAAAATGCAAAATCCAATTTAATCTGGCACCAAGTAACACAATTACATCAGCAAATTGCAAAGCCCTATTAAAAAGAAAAATCTGATATAACAAAATCTGATATAACAAAAAGTATATCTACATTCTTATTTTGAATTATTCTAAAATTAATTTCTAAAGTATTTGGAAAAGTCTAAATAATTTGGAGTTTACCCTGCTCTTCAGAATGGGCTTAAATGGTAAATTTGGTCTTTCAAACTGAAATAATTTATGAAGTCATCCTATTTAAATGGTAATCTAAAAGTTAACATAAGCAGAAAATACTACCATACTCTGTAGCATTTATTACTTTTTCATCATTAGAAAAATTATACAAGTCTACTGTAGATAATCAAGAAAAAACAGGAAAGTATAAGGAAAAAGTCAAAATTACCCAATATTACTATCAACTTATAAACTATTACTAAGATCCTGGCATATTTTCATTAGTCTTTAATCTGTCTGTAATGCAAGAGACCGGGGTTGGGAAGATCCCCTGGAGAAGGGAAAGGCTTCCTACTCCAGTGTTCTGGCCTGGAGAATCCTATGGATTGTATAGTCCATGGGGTCGCACAGTCAGACATGACTGAGCTACTTTTATTTTCACTTTTTTTTCTACGCATGTTTATTTTTATACAGCTGAGCTTATATACTAAATACTGTCTCATGCACTTTTGCTTACATATGCTTTCCTTTCTTATTAAGTTATTCTTAAATACAAATTTTAAAAGCTACACATTTTGTTGGACACAAATTGGTTTCTCCTCTTCTCATCTGCTGAACATTTTCTTTGTTATTAATAGTCTGGGTTGCATATCTTTATTTGACCACTTCGTACTGATTCCTAGAAAGAGGTATTTTTACGATGATTGATTCACTTTCCCAAACTGCTTTCAAAAAATATTACACCAAGTGTATCTGTAATACTTTTACATATTAATATCTTAGTATTTTTGTCAATTTATTTTTGCTTTGATAGCCACTCTGATAGTAAACATAGCTGTCAATTCTTGCTTTCCTTTTGTTTACCTCATACATCTTTGCTTGTTTTTACATTGTATCATTTTTAGATGTGTCTCTAATAATACATATAACCATCATTATTATTGATCCAATTGAAAGGTCTCTCTGCCTTTTTGCAGGATAATTTTCATTATCATAATTGCCATAGGTTTTGTTCTTTCTACTTCTTGACTGTTTCCCTTTTTTCTTATTTCTTTTGCCCAAAGAGGATCTTTTGCTTTCGTTTTCTGTAGTGGTGTATGCCATTTTTCACAGAAATTCAGCTATTATTTTAACTATATGGTCAAAAAAAACTATTCTTATATACTGCTTTGGTCCTGTGGTCCAATTTAACACACACATAAAAACTGGAAATGGAGAGATAGATTTGCTTATAGATACTCCAAAACCCTTAAAATTGTTGATACATTTATAGCCCCTTACAATCTTTTTTACATTATTAATGTCATTAATATTACCTTCTTAAAATTCAACAAGAATGAAGATAAACTTCAGTTCAACCCAAGTTAAAGTATATTTTAACTAATTAATTTGGCTACTGTTCAATGTACGAGAGTTAGCCACTCAGTCATGTTGGACTCTGTGACCCCATGGACCCACCAGGCTCTGCTATGCATGGAATTTTCCAGGCAAGAATACTGAAATGGATTGCCATTTCCTTCTCTAGGGGATCTTCCCAACCCAGGGATCAAACCCTGGTCTCCTGCATTACAGGCAGATTCTTTACCATCTGAGAGACCAGGGAAGCCCATACAATGTATACTATTATGAAAAAAAAGTTATGAGCCTATAAAAATAGCATTAAATGAGTAACATTAAAGGCTGAACAGCAAACATTACATTTTAAAAATCCTCAAAGCTAACTGAGCGTGTGCATGACAACATGAAAATTACCAAGTGTAGCACAACAGTGAATTGTGGAGAGGGAAGAAGAAATGGATGGGCTCAGGTAAGACACACAGGGACTACAAACAAATCTGTCATTTTTTGTTTCTCAGAAATAACCTTAAGCAACAACATACTTATTATTAGATGAAGTAGAGTGGTGGTTACATAGTGTTCACTAAATTACTCTCTTAATTGTATATTTATAGTATTTCAAAATAAAGAAATTAAAAGAAAAAAAAACATGGTTTATCAGAAAGCCTGTTTTGGCCATAAAATCAGGAAAAGGGACCCAGAATGCCTGAACGCATGGAGGAAAAGCTCTGCAGTTTTCTTTCTCTGTGTCTCTCCTCCAGCTGTGCTCTGAGGGCAGCACAGAGGCACTGCGGTAAGTCTTCTTATTTCCTTTCTTCAGCCACACTGCACAGCATGTGTAATCCTCCCCTATCAGAGGTTGAACCCGTGCCTCCTGCTTGGAAGTACACAGTCTTAACCACTGGACCACAGTCCTAGGCAGCTAAATTCCCAAGAGAAACTTTGTTTTTCAGGCCAGAGGAACTGGGAAAAGAGGCCCCTGTGCTGTGGAAAGTATGGGGGCATGCCCCTTTTTTTACATCTTTTTTTTTCTGCCACTTTGCCTCAAAGGCAGCACCTGTTGTATGGTACTATAAGGTATCAGCAAGGGGAAGGAACAGTAATTCTGGGAAATGGGAGTAGGGTTTGGGCTGAGTCCTAATAGAGAAAGGAAATCCCTCGTTCTGGATAGGAACCAGCGCGTTCACATCCAGAACAGGGGCTGCGGCTCAGCCCTGGGCTGGGCAAAAATGGGCAGAGTCAAAGGAGCAAAGCAGAGGCCCTGGAGATTAACTGACCCTGGGACATGCCCACAGTGAGTGAGACAGGACCCGCAGTCTGGACCCAACCAGGCGAACTGCCTGTTAAACACACAAACAAAACCAACCTTCTACAGAGGATTTCTATACGATCTAGAATCTCACAACATAATATTCAAAATTCTAGGATACAATAAAAAACTACTCAACATGCACACACAGAAGATAACCAATTTCAGAAGAAAATATAAGGAATAGATACCAATTATACTGATGACACAGATGTTAGAATTAGTAAATGTACTTTGAATCAGTTATTATGACTATGTTCCACAAGGTAAACAAAAATACTTTTCAAATAAGTGGGAAGATAAAAATTCTCTGCAGGGAGTACGTTCCTGGCGGTCCCATGGTTAAGAACCCACCTGCCAATGCAGGAGACACAGGGTCATTCCCTGGTCTGGAGGATTCCACAGGCCATGGAACTAAGCCGTGCCCCACAGCCAGTGAGCCCAAACGCCTTACCTCCTGAAGCCTGCAAGCCACACTGCCTGTGCTCCACAAGAGAAGCCCACACACCACAACCAGACAGCCCCAGCTGGTTGCAGCTAGAGAAAGCCTGTGTGCAGCAACAAAGACCCAGAGCAGCCAAAAACAAATCAGCGAATGAATAGATAATTTTTTAAAGTTCTCAGCAGACAAAAAGGAAATATAAAAAAAAGAAAAGGCTTAAAATGAAACAGTTATTCAGGGACCTCTGGGACAATATCAACAATATTTGTGTTACTCTGGAAAAAAAGATCGGTGCAGAAAAACATATTTGAAGAAATGATGGTCAAAACTTTTCAAATTTGGTGAAGACATCAATGTATAGACTTAAGAAGATTAGAAAATCTCAAACAAGATAAATTAAAAAAAAAAACTGTATCCAAACACATCATAATTAAACTGCTGAGAACCAAAGATGATAAAATATTCTGAACACAGCCACAGAAAAACAAGATAATGTTACATATAGGGGATCAGAGATTCAAATGACTACAAATTTCTCATCTGAAATCATGAGGGTCAGAAGGTAGAGAACCCTGTTAAAAGTGCTGAAAAGTCTAAAAAGAAATGGGTATGCTTAAAAATACATGATTCTTTCAGAACTTCTACTAGATTCATTCAAGTCATAAGCTAATTTAAATGAGTCTGAAATCTGCCAAGCTATTGTATTTAAAATCTGGAGTTGTCCCATACCTGGATCTGGCAGCAGCTACACAGTTTGGATGGTTGTCAGGGATCACACCCTTTCCCATGGGGGTGGGCAGAAACGGCAATTTACACTGCTCCACCAACTTCCTGATACTCTCCTCTGCATGGGCATAAGCGGCACCTACAACAAATCCAAATGTATTGGACAAGGCAGTTAAGCTCCAGATACTTACAGAAGTTCATGTGAGACTGCTTTCAGAACTTCTCAAAGGTTCTCCTGCTCAGGGCTTAAACTCAAAACAAATGGCGACTTGTGGTTTTTTATCTTTGGTATTTTAAAATGTTTAAGAAGGCAATAGTTCTAATTCCTCCCTCCCCCGGGGCCAAGTAACAGTATCAATTATTCTGAAGTATGCCTACCCACAAACAAAAGTTGCACCTTCCACTCTTGCTGTTCTTAATTGTCGGTTCCATGCTATGTTCCTCCTGAATTACTACCACTAACAATTACCTGAACACACACAGACTGGGAGGTACAGGCGGGAAAGCAAAGACTGCTCTGACAGCTAAAAGCAACCTCACACGTTGCTCCCCACCACCAGCCAACCAGGACTGCACATCGTCTAGTATACGTATGGAAATTCTAACCAGGGGCCTAAGTTTCTAAAGCTCTGTAGATCACTTTGTAGGTTCCATAATCCAGTGACTGCAATAGGACCAAACTCGAGGCGGTCACACCATTTGTTTATTTACAGTTATGTGCCTGCAGGAATAACCATGTCTTACCCTCAATAGCACTGGAAACAACTCACTGCTTCAATACAGAAATGATTTTGTTTCTCATGTTACCAAGGCCGTCATTTTAGCTATTTAACTTTATGCTCTTTCTCAGAGTTAGTAAATATTACTCCACATCCAGAATTTACAATTCTCTGCTGAATCCAAGCAAATAGTGTAGTACATTCAGATTCAATGTAATACTCAACCCTATAAAAAAAAACCTTACAATCTTTTCTCACCCATGCAGGATGAAAAATATTTCTTTTCTTTTTTTTTTTTTCCAGAACACTTCCTTGTATTCTCCTTCTTGCCACAATATCTTGGTCCATTTGGTTCCCTCTTCCTGGACTGCCTGGGTTCTCTGTGTTCACTCTGTGACCAGTTACCCATGTCTTTTTCCACTGGGCAGCTACAGCATCATCTCTTCTGAATTGTTTTTCCACATCACCACACAAGAACGTTGTTGCTACCTCCCCTGAGAACCCACCTCAGTCCTCTACACACACCACACGTACTGATGATCAGGTCTGTCTACCAGCTGTTGTTGCTGAGTTGTGTCTGACTCTTGTGACCCCATGGACTGTAACCCACTAGGCTCTTCTGTCATGGGATTCTCTAGGCAAGAATACTGGAGTGGGTTGCCATTTCCTTCTCCAGGGGACCTTCCCAACCCAGGGATCGAACCTGCACTGCAGGCAGATTCTTTAGTGTCTGAGACATCAGGGAAGCAAATAATGGCAACAAGCTCTAAACAGAATCGACATTCTTTTGAAAGCCTAGCAAGATTTAGAGTTCCATTCAGCGCTACCTTTTCCAATGATGACAAGGGGCTGCTTGGCATCCCTAATAACAGATGCTGCCATGGATACAGCAGAGGTTTCTGCCATGCTAATAGGAGGTGGCATACAGCACTCCACATACCTGGAAATAAAGAGCTCTGTTAATTAAAGCAGGCCAATTTTTAAACTTTTTTACTGTGAAAATATCAAATACAAAAAAAGGTAGAAAAAAACAGTATAATAAACTGCATATACCCACCCTGTAGATGCCACTACTAATATTTTACATTTGCTTCATCTGTACACACATAAACACACATATACATTTCTTCCTAAGCCATTTTAAAGTAGATTATATCAGCAAGACTTAAGAACTAAAAGATAAAGACTTTTTCCTATATAACCATTATATCTATAAAATCTGGTAAATCAACATTTATTCCCTAAGAAGATCTAATAGCCAAATAAGCAATTCATTTACAGGAAAACAGAGCTAATGACTTTACAATGAAGTAGTAGTTATAGTGGTTGAAATAATTAAAAAATATACTAATTTAATATTTAATACTATGTGCCATGTATTTTCATTTAATTTTCAAAATAATAAGATTAGGTATTATCGTTACATCCATTTCACTACTGTGGGGGGAAAAAACAACTCCTCAGAAAGTAGGTAACTTGCCCAGGGTCCCTGGATGGCATGGGGCAACTAGGCTGAAGTAGGTTGTTCTGTCTCCAAAGTCCATGCTTCCACCTTCCTTACTATATTACCACTCACTAAGTCCACATTTTAGTACCACAATATGCATTAGTAAAAGAAATATTAAAATGGTCATAGTTATTTCTAGACACCAAATCCTCAGTGTTTTATTTCATTTACCCTAATTGATGAACATCATACTGTACAAAACTTGGGCATATAATACCAAAAGAGGGCATTCAAGTCTTTACAAAAGTTGTAAACCCAATAATCTTATTTTGATCTTCATGTTCAGGAATTACAAGAAACTGACACCCTTTCTGTCTGACCGTCCCAATGGAAACCAGTACTTGGTATCCTGAGTGAAGAGAAATGCCCGCTGTCTCTCAGGAGTCACTGGAGGACCACCTAGTCCCTGACAGCAGAAATGTGCTAAATGGTACTCAGGGTGATGCATTAACCCAAGTACCCAACTTTACCAGTTTGTTGTACTTACTGTTCACTCAGCGTTTATTTACAGAATGAGGGGACTTGGCAAATCATAGTAATATCCGGTGTTGAAATATTTTTATGTCACAGAGACAGATTAAAATTTTTATGCTGAGTTATAGTAATTTTTCAATAGTCACTTCATCTCTTGATTTACACCAACCATGAAGACTCTAAATAACCATACTACATAAGGATTAAATTTTTATGGTTACTGGAAGAATAATTTCAAATGAGGAGTTTGGGAAGCTCCAAGTATTTGACTTAGTAATTAAACCCCAAGATAATTCTTAAATAATACAATTTTAAATAAGAGAATTAAGCCCTTTGGCCAGGATTCAGTTTAATCACCAAATCTGCAAAAGTTAAGACAAGTGAAAATTGTAACTCATAAGCTGCTAGGTAAATTCTTTTCAAAAGGTAAGTCTTACGGTAACATAATTGAGGAAGAACTCCAATTAACTATTACTCACTTTACAGAACTCACATTCACCTGGAGGTTCACAAAATCTGCAGGTATGTCGACATAGCAAGCACCTGGACGGCCATAAAGACTGCTTCTCACTGCCTAAGTTCATTACAAATGGAAGAAAATATTTTAAAAACCTCAATCCAGTGCTCGCTACGGCAGCACATATACTTAAAATCTCAATCCTCATTATCACATCCTACTCAAAGATAATTTAAAATTGTGAAATAAATACTATTTAAAATTTTCTCGACATCCTTAGTTGATACAAAATCCTTAGAAATAAGCAATTTTAATTAAAATTGAAATGTACTCTATTGATTATAAATTTTTGTTTCAAAGGAGAGAGATAAGAAAGTACTCACTTAGGGCTTTAAAATTCATTTTTCACTACACTTTAGTCCTAGAAATTATCTACTAGGTTCTGCCTGCCAAGGTTTTGTAACATGTACTTTAACCTAATTTCTAATCTTAATAATTGCCAAAGATTTCAGAAATTGTGATGGTGTAACATGTGTCAAATGGTTTCTATAACACATGGCTTTTGAAACAGCTTAAATGTAACATCACATAGTTTATTAATACACTGCTTAATCAACTAAGAGATGGTCTTACATGCATTAGTACTAATTTTCAAAAATAACTGTACAGAAGTATAAGAGAAAGGGCAATCAGGGTTTCATTACATCTTTCTACTTTTCCATAATTAAAAAAAAATTAAAAACTAAAGTATAGGAAAAAATTCTTCTAAAAAATTTATTTTATCTAGTTCTTTAATTAAGGACAGTGAATATTAAAATGTACATAGCTATTTATCAATATCATTGTTTACTCTCTCTATTGAGAATAAAAGTAACACAGGTATAAGCAACTGAGAAAAACCAGTGGACCTGGAGAGCTGGTAATTAACTACTGTACCTTTTCGATAATAGACGGAATAGCTTTTATGCTACTTGGCCGGGCTGAGAACTTGCTATATAATCTACAAGCTTCAACCTATAGGTGAAAAGAAAATCACTTAAAACTCAGCGCATGTATCATATTACTCTTCTGAAAGAAGAAGAAATGTTAAGTCACTACATTCTATTATGTTTAGAGGCAAGATGGAGAAAAATGAATTATCTGGATTGTTTCTTAAAAGCCTATGCAAAGTACAACCAAACATCTGCCTTGGTACAATTCAGGAAGAAAATCAAAACAAGGCACCACTTTCATTTCTCAGACTGGCAAAAGTGAAAAAGTTAGGTAGTAACTGTCATAAACTGAGGTTTATGAGAATACAAATGGGGAGGGAAGTTGACAATGTCTCCTAAAAAGGTAAAAGAATATCCTTGGACCCAGAAATTCTACATCCAGGGATACACAACTTTATCTGCTATATCTCATTATAATAATAATCTATTTTTACATTTCTGCCAGTTTTCCAGTTATATGTTTTGCTGCCATGCTGTTTCACATAAATTCAGTATTGCTAATTTTTCATTGTTTAGTGTACTTTGAAGCATTATATAGAAACTGTTTCTCTTAATACTTTTTGATATAAAATCTATGGAACAGTTGGTAGTTTTAGCCCTGCAGGTGTGAGCAGGAATTTTCAACTTTTCTCTTCCTCAAAGTCTGACAATCCCAAATCATTTTTATTCCTGCATTTTCTTGATTCTTTAAAGAACTTATTTTCAGAGTTTAAATTTCTGTCAAAAGGTTATCTTTCTTGGAAGATTGCTAAATAGATTCTAAGCTTTCTTAACACTCACATTGAGAGCTTCCTGTAGTTGAGGAAAATCACCTTTAAGCTATCTCAGGTATTTCTATTTTATGTGTTTACTTTGCAGATAGTTTTAATTTCTTCTCCATAAATCTTAATGGAGTATAATTATACTACAGAGGGAAGATCTTAGAGATGGGTACCTGAGGAAATTCCTGGAAGGCTCCCATTGTTTGCTGACTTCTTTCAGAGGAACCACCAATCACAATCAAGGGCCTGAAATTTTTTAAAAGAGAATTACAAGTGCCCAGTGAATAAAAAACACTCAGTGAATGTTAAAAAAAGAAAGAGAATTACATTTTCTCTTAAAAACTCTCAATTTAAAAAGATTTAGGAAACATCTTGGTCTGAGAAAACGCTTCCTTGATTTCAGAAAAATCTGAAATTTATAGTAAATATTTTTCCTCCATACCCCTCTCTCCCTTGCCTCTTCTGGATACTGATGCTAAACCAAACCTCTGGGTGTGATGATATAAAATGAATTGTTATGCTGGTTCTATTATTCTTGAGATTAAGAGAAGGAATAAATTTTTTTCACACTTTCCTAACTAAGTCTATTTGGAAATGGCAGAATGATGAGAAAAATTCCTCAGCAATAAAATTCCCAGGGAGAATAAAAGATAGCAAAGCTAAAGTTACTTAAAAACTACCAGACACTGAAGTTGATAAGAAAGTGTAGTAAGAAAGCAAAGGACCTGTAAGAAACACATGGCAAGAAAGAAAATAAGGTCCTTAGGAAGGGAAATTTAAACAGTGTATCAACTGAACAGAATAGAGCTACCTTGGGCTCCCCTGGTGGCTCAGTGGTAAAGAATCCTCCTGCCAATGCAGGAGACACAGGTTTGATCCCTAATCTAGGAAGATCCTACATGTCAGGGAGCAGCTAAGCCTGTGTGCCACAGCCACTGAGCCTGTGCTCTAGAGCCCGGGAGCTCCAACTACGGAGCAGATGTGCTGCAGCTACTGAATCCGCGCGCCCTAGAGCCTGTACTCCCCAGCAAGAGAAGCCAACGCAATGAGAAGCCCACCTATTACAACTAGAGAGTAGCCCCTGGTCGCCACAACTACAGAGAAGCCCACATAGCAACAAAGACCCAACACAGCCAAAAATAAATAGATATGAATTAAATTATTAGAAGACAAAAAGACATAGCCCTGTTACCACGATTGTACTGGTAAAGAATCAGAGACTAAGAACCAGGCTTAAGGGCAAGAGCAACTACTCTGTTTATATAGCCAGCTCAATAAATATGGTTTCAACTGTCCTGCTGGTTATGCAAGACAAGGTGAAAAATTAAATACATCCTTGCATATTGAGCTGGAATCTTTAATAAACAATTCTTCACTTAAAAAGACTTATACATACATTCACATACATATATAGATATGGAATATCCCCAAATATTAAATGTTTTTCTCTAGGTAAAAGAATTATCGATGTTTTTTAATTTTCTTCCTAACACTCTTCTTAATTTTTCACTAAGTCATTTCCTCAAGCATATGACCCCCCATCTTCCCACCACAGATCAGTGGTTCTCCACTGGATAAAATTATGTGTTGATATTTTCAAGAAAATGTTTTCAGTAATAATAATCTAATTACCAACAGTTCATGTTTGCATTTGCCATACCGCCCAAACTATGGATGAGACCTGGGCCAGAAACAACAAGGCAAACTCCTGGCCTAAAAGCAAAACAGAATTAATTATATTAAAAGCAGGTCAAATGCATTACTTGATTCATACCACATTAGGGTGAAATGTAATCTTGGACTTCAAAGGAAGGATACATAGGTCTTTACTACAGCTGTAAAACAATTATTAGAATATTTTTGAATTAGTTTTTTTAAAAAGGATCATATCAGTCTTCCTGCAAGACATAAGATTATTTACCATCCTCACACTGTATTTCACTAAACTTTTCATATTTTGCTCCTACTAAATTTGGGCTAAATCAAGGTGATTGCACACAGAAGCAAATTTTTGACTACTGAGCATACTTTTGTATGGAAAAAAAGTGTTTTTTTAAAATCTCTTAACAAATAAATAGATAATGCAAATTGGTCTTTGACAGAAAGTAATTCTAAAATGCAGAGTTCTGCCCCAATTTTTTAAGTTGAACTTGAATGTTTTACCCTAGATGACCGTCTAACCTTAAAGCACTGAAGAAAATGGTATCTCCATACAATTCAGCTTACCATTTTCAATTCATAAAGTAACTTCTTAGGAACCTCTATTTAAGACAGCCTTTAAATTGGTGCAGCTGCTATGAAAAACAATGTGGAGGCTCCTCAAAAAACTAAAAATAGAACTTTCATACAATCCAGCAATTCCACCCTGGGTGTTTATCAAAGAAAACAAAAACACTAATTCCAAAAGATACATGTACCTAGGTTAATGCAGCACTATTTATAATAGTCAATATACAGAAGCAACATCACCGTCCATCCATGGATGAATGGATAAAGAAGATGTGGTGTGTATACACACACACACACACACAATGAAATATTAGCAATAAAAAAGAATGAAATCTTTGTGGCAACATGGATAAACTTGGAGGATATTATGCTTAGTGAAATAAGTCAGAGAAAATCAAATACTATTATGATTTCACTTATATGTGGACTCTCAAAAACAAAACAATGTACAAAACAGAAACAGACTCACAGACACAGAGAACAAACTGGTGGCTGCTAGGGGGAAGACGGGTAGAGAAATGGATAAAATAGGTCAAAGGGATTAAGAGGTACAAACTGCCAGCTATAAAATAAGTAAGTCACTGGGATGAAATATACAGCACAGGGAACACAGGCAATAACATACATTGTATGTAACAACTTTGAATGGTAACAGATCGGAACTGGTTTTGCTGTGGTGACCATTTCATGATGTATAAAAATATCAAATCACTATGTTGGACACCTAAAACTAATTTAATACTATGTGTTAATTACAACTCAAGTTTAAAAAAGAAGCTGAAATAAAACAGACTTGCGCTTACCTGCCTGTCAGATATCCAACTGCAGAGGCAGCATAGCAAGCCTACAAAGAAAAAACACTGGGACTTAAGCATTTTGGAACTTTTATAGTATTAAATCATATTAAGTAATGAGTATTATACATGTATAAAGTATGTATGTAATAATTTACTCTCAATAAGGGGAAAATGGAATATTTTTCATTTTAACAAGTAATCTTCTATCTGTACATTTCACATAATCACTTAAGTATCTAAATCTTATATTTAGTTTTTCAAGGAATTTGTCTGTATCATCTAGTTTATTCATAATATCATCTTATAATTGCTTAAACATCTGCAGGATCAATAGGAATACCCTCTTTTTTATTCCTAACACTGATAATTTGTGCTTTTTATGTTTTATTCTTCATCAGTCTTACTAGAGACTTACAAATTTATTGATCTTTTCAAAGAACAATTTTTGGATTTGTGGCTTTTTCTCTACTGTTTGTTTTCTCCTCCATTGATTTCCACTCTTGTGTTTATCATTTTACTACTTTCAGTTTGGATTTACTTTGGCTTCCTTTTTCTAGCTTCTTAAAATGCATGCTCGGAGCACTGATTTTTTATCTTCTTTACTAAGAGATTCATTTAAAACTATTTCCTCTAAGAACTGCTTAGCTGTAGCTCACATGTTTGAGATCTCATTTTCTCATCATCATTCAATTCAAAATGTTTTCCATTTTCCATTGGGATTTCTTCTTCACCCCACTGGTTAGTTAGGGTCTGTGGTGACATCTGCATTTTCATCCCTGATACAGGTAATTTGTATTATTTTTTTCTCTTTTATTCCTAATCAGTCTGCTGTGAAGTTTATTGATTTTAATTAATCTTTCCAAATATTTACAATGTATTGAATTTTCAAATGTTTGGGGATTTTCCATCTTCCTATTATTAAATTCCAGTTTATTTCCACAAGGTCCAGTCACACACACTGTGTATTTTCAATCCTTGCTTGGAGATTGATTGAAATTTTCTTTATGGCCTTCATATGGTTAGTTTTTATTTTTAAACTGCGCTTCAGTTCATTACAGAAAGAGGGGTAAGGTGCTAAACACAAGATAACCTGGGAAAATGCTAAATGCCCTTTATGAAGAAATGAGACGGGGTTGACAAAACGTCCTAACTTCCTTTCTTGGACTTCCAAATAAGCCTCTAAGAAGGGTGGCAATGTGATGAGGTGGAATGAGCACTGGCCTGGGTCTTGGGACATCTCTGGAGTTCAATCATGGCTTTATCATTTGTGATGCCTGTCACCTTGCAGAGCCACCTACTACACAACCTGAGACGTGACCTTTCCCCATTCATGTTGCAGGTATTATCATGGGCAGGCCCCACGGATAAACTGGAGATACAGATGTGCGAAGAAGAAATATGTATTTGTGACCCCCTGGAACTCACAGACTAATAGGGAAGTCAGATGAGGCAAATAATACATAGAAACAGACACATAACAATAGCTAGTTATACGAATGAAGCACAGGGGGCCAGGGAAGTATCAGACCAAGTAAGTGCCCCTTCCGATTCTGGCACTCTAAAGACTTGGCAGAGGTCCACACTGTGTAGTGTGCAAGGACTCCAGAGCCAGAACACCTGGGCTCAAAGCCTGACTCCGCCAATTCCAGCTGTTTCCTTGAGCAAATTTCTTCACTTCTGTGTGTGTGTGTGGGGGGGGGGGTCTCTCTTTTATGAATTTTACTTTACATTTATTTATTTTTAACTGGGGCCTCACTGTTCTCATCTGCAGCGACGATTAACAATCGGTCTTGCCTTCCAGGAGCGTTGTGATTGATAAGCGTAAAGCATTAGAGGAGTGAGCGGTAAGCAGCGACTGTCTGCAATGAATTATCTGTCATCACTGTTACTCATCCCCGAGAACGCGCTGGGCTTTGAGTCCATACTTACTGCCTGCTCATTCCTCATCCCGATGTATCTGATGCCCACCTCCTGCGCAGCAAGGGCGATTTCGGTCACCGGGATGCCTACGATGCCGAATATGTAATTCACGTCCTGGGGGGCGGCCAAAAGCAGAGGAATGAGGCCGGCATCCCAGCCCGCCCATCCGAGGCGGTAAAAAAAGAAAACCTTCCGCAAACATCCCTTCTGCCCACCTCCCCACTCCCGCCGCTTTCCCGTTTCCAAGACAACGCGGCGGCCCCGTCGGCTTCCGTAGGGCTCTCTGCAGCGGGCAGGTCTCCCACCTGGGTTTTCAGGGCCCGGGCGATGACTTGCGCGCCGGACACCTGCCCCTCGAGTCCGTCACTGCGCGCCGCCAGGTTATTTTCCGACATCTCCCACCGCAGCGGACAGCAGGCTAGCGCGGAATCACCCTGTCAAGCCAGCCCCTGAAGACACCAACCGTGAGGCCACTCCTCTGAGGGAGGAGGGGAGCCACAGGCACCTTTCAAGAGGGGAGAGGGGCGGGGCTGCAGTCAGCCCACTGGCGCTGAGGTGACGGGTAAACACGCTCTGTCCTGTCAGGGCCGGCCCTTCTCTCCGGCCCGCCCCTCACGGAACTCGGGGAGCGTCTGGAGGAGGCGGAGGCGTCCGCCGAGCTCGTGAGAGGTGGGTCGGCGGTGGGATCTGGGGCCTCAGCCCACGACCTTGAGCCTTTTAGGGACGCGGGGGGGCGGGTGGCGCCTGCGCAGAGCCTGGGTGGAAGCGGGGTCAGGATCGCGGCCGCGGCAGAAGGGGGCGTGGCGCGCGCTCGCGGCCCCGCCCCACAGCCTTTTGCGGAACCCGGCGGGGCGTGTGTCGCCTGCGCAGAGCTGGACGGAAGGTGGGCCGCGGCGGGGCCGTCGCAGAAGGGGGCGTGGCTCCGGGGGCCGCGCGCGGGTTTTGCTGGGAAGCGAGCGATGGGATGGCTTCGGATGTTGGTGGAGGCGGGCCTTTTTTTGTGTTGTGTGGTTTTGTTCCCGCGTCCCGTTGTATTCTAAACTTTGACGTACACGCTTATTTGATGGATACGTTCGTAACTTTGCAATCCGTGAAGATAATCGCCAACTAATTAAATCCGTAAGCGGATGTGTATTTTTTTTTCATTTATTTTTATTAGTTGGAGGCTAATTACTTTACATCATTATAGTGGTTTTTGTCATACATTGAAATGAATTAGCCATGGATTTACATGTATTCCCCAGGATGTGTACTCTTGACTTTAGACGAGGACGCCGTATCTCTCAGGGAGAGCTGAAGTAAGTTGCCCAGAGCCATTGGACCAGAAGTCTTGTGACCCCTTCACCCTTCCGCCCTTCGGCCACAGGGGATAAGGGCCCCTTGAGCCTAGTTACTTCTGACGGTTTTTTTTTTTTCCTGTAATCCTTGCTAATAACCCTTCACCCTGCCTTTACAGTGAAGTCAGGAAATGGTGGGGAGAGCTGTGAGTCTTCAGAGTCAGCCTCTCATCGAAACCAGCTCCTGCAGCTGAGAACCTTTTTGTGGAAAAACCAAAAAAAGTATTGAAGTATTTATTGATTTATAGTGTTAATTTCTGCTGTACAGCGAAGTGATTCGGTTCTGCCTCTACGTACACACTTCTTTTTCATACTCTTTTTCTATCAAAGTTTATCACAAGAAGAGAACTTTTTAAAAAGACAGTTTTGAGTCAAAATGTCCTTAGAGTGTGTGGTTCATGATGCCAGGGCCTCAGGAGCATTAGACCACCTGCTTAGTAGCAAACAGAACTCAGATCGTAAGGAAGAGTGGAACTTCAGGTTTTTGAGGATTTGAAGTGTTTTAAAGCAGTAAAACTAGTAATATGTGGGAAGGAAAGAAACCAGAGAAGCTTCCCAGGTGGCACTAGTGGTAAAGAACCTCCTGCCCATGCAGGAGACAGAAGAGAGGGGTTTGACCCCTGGGTGGGGAAGATCCCCTGGAAGAGGGCATGGCAACCCACTCCAGTATTCTTGCCTGGAGAATCCCCATGGACAGAGGAGCCTGACGGGCTACAGCCCATGGGGACGCAAAGAGTCGGACACAACTGAGTGACTTAAAACACGCAAAGAAACCGGAAGCGAGGAGAGTGGGTCCTGGTTAGTGAAATGAATGAAAAACTTTGGAAATGAAAGAATTCCTAAACTCATTGAGCCCTTTGAAAAAGGTTTCTCCTCGCATTTCAAGTCCTAACTCCCACTCTAAGCAAAGGAATGAGAATGGCTGCCTCTGGGTATGGGGACCTAGCCTAAGGTAGCCCATCTAAGAGGAAGATTTCTTTCAAGCTTTAGAGTTCATCTAAAAAATAAATGCAAATCTTGCATTGTATTCCAGAATCTATCCATATTTTAATATAAAAGTGATCTTTTTAATTGAGGTAAACATACATTTAAATGTACAGATCTTAAATGAGTTTTGACATCTGTAGCCACCAAAATACAAATGATGTTTTAAAATACCCATGAAAGCTGGCATTCCAGAAAGATGCCGACTTTGAACACAAAATATTGTTTGTCTTTGAATAATCCTTGGCACAATGTTCCCTGCCGCTGTTTGATAAGCATAGACCCTTCATCTCTCTGTTATGTGGGATTGTTTCTGTCAGTACCTACGTGACAGTTTCTACTCCCAAGCATTAGAATCGCTTGGAAAGCCTTTTATAATTTTATTTTTAAAAAATGCTTATTTATTTTTGGCTGTGTCAGGTCTTGGTTGCCGCATGAAGTCTCCGTGTGGGTGTGTGGGCTTCTCTCTAGTTACAGCAGGAGGGCTCAGTAATTGTGGCTTGAAGGCTTAGTTGCCCAGCAGCGTGTGGGATCTTGGGCTTCCCAGGTGGGGCTAGTGGTAAAGAACCTGACTGCCAATGAGGGAATGTAAGAGATCTGGGTTTGATCCCTGGGTCAGGAAGATCCCCTGGAGGAGGGCATGGCAACTCACTCCAGTATTCTTGCCTGGAGAATCCCATGGACAGAGGAGTCTGGCGGGCTATAGTCCATGGGGTCACAAAGAGTGAAGTGACATAGCACACAGTCAAGCATGTGGGATCATAGTTGGCCAACCAGGAAGTATTCTTAATCACTGGACCACCAGGGAAGTTCCTGCAAAGCTTTTTAAATATAGAGTTGCTTAGGCCTACCCCACATCTTCTGAATCAGCATCTTAGGACAAATTAGGCACCTGTGTTTTTTTAAAGCTGCTATCTAAATTTGATTTGCAGGCTGACTTGAGAAGCACCAGCTCCGTACTCATGCTGTATGCATGAGTTAATAATTAAATGTCTGCTTGCCTGTTATAAAATACTGATGCTTAATTTGGATTTATGGGTTCAAGGCTAGGTTGACATTAATAGCACAGACTGTGTAGGTCATGGTCAGTCAGTTCATGAGGACTTGGGTTCACTGATGTCCCAAAAGAATCACTGACAGAATCACTCAGTATATAGTGTGAAAACTGAACTGTGAGTTGGAACAAATCCCCTGAATTCAGATTAATGCATTGTGCAAAAGGATAAATTCTCAAGTGACTAGACTGCCCTGTAAGCAGGGGGAGAAGTCGATAAGACTGTTGCCACTTGGTTCACCTTTACACCTTTGAGTACATGGCATAACGTTCCACAGTGAACTTGGGTCTGATGATTCAGCAGAAGTACTGAGAGTCTCCCTCCAAGATTTACAGGCCCTTGGAGCAACTGCCTTCAATCCAATGGCAGTGAGCGGATTCCAGGATTCTTTAGTAACTTATCCGAGGCCTGTATGCAGACATGGGAAGCATTAACCATGTTCTTTATTATTTAAATTGGTGGTAGGCATGGAATTTTATTTGTTGGATATTTGATTGAAATTTTGCTTGTTTTGCCTTGTTTATTGGTGGAAGGAGGCCAAAGGAGGAGTAAGTCTAGTTTGTTTTCTGAAAGAAAAGGCTGGAGGAATGATAACATGCTCTCCAAAGAGCAGGGTCAGTCATCAGAGTTTTCATACTGGTCACTCTGTGAGTTCTAGACCTGAGATCCTGCACTGCGGGTGGCTTCTTCACCACCGAGCCACCGGGGAAGCCCAGTAACTTCTTAGGCCCCAGAATTATGATACTGTGTCTTAGTTTCAGCAAACTAACAAGGACACTGAAAATCCATGTGATTATTGGAAAGCGTAACACTAACTGAACCTGGTAGAAATATCCTTGTAGGCATATTTTGTCAAAATGTGAAGTGTTTGGTTATTGCATGAAGAAATGCATTGGGATTATTTATGATGCATTATAGAATGGCTGAAAATAAAATAAAATTGGCTGAAACAGAGGAGAAGCTGAAACTGAGTGTCTTAAATACAAACAAAAGCAACAACAACCCAAAAGGAAGTCTATGTAGAACACTATTTTTTAAACCAAACTTGAAAACTGTACAGCAAATGGTTCTTTGAAGAAAGCAGGTTAAATTAATTTTGTTTGCTTCTCATTAAGCTTATGAGCTGTACCTAATCTCAGAAATAGGTCTGAAGTGAAGCCAGTGAGAAGCAACTTCATTATTGAACCAGCAGGGCCAGATTTAATGGCTGTTACTGGCAGACAGGGACTGGGAGTTTCTCTAGTTACTGTGTAACCTAGAGAATGGTTGGATCCCTGCCCTTGGCCTGCAGGCTCTTCACCTTTGCTTTGCTTTTTAATGCCAGTGAGACTCAGCAAGACCCAGAACTGGAGTGGAAGCACTCTGGGGCAGAAACTGAAGGAGCTTTGTTTTCATCTGCCGTGTGCTTTTTCTGTTTTGTTTTTTAAAGCAAATATGGGGTTTGACATCAGCAATTATTAGATCACTGATAAGGTGTCTATTTTGGGAAAATCCACCAGAAATGGTGACAACTATAGGTCGTGCTGCGAGGACATAAGTGATTTATTTCAAATGGCTTAGAAGTCATAGTATAGAATGTCTCTATATGCTAGAACTCCACAGTTGGGCTAGGGGTTCAGCAGCCATCACCTGTGAAACATGGTTATCAGTGTTTAAATGTTTTCTGTTTTCATTTGTTTCTTGTTTTACCACCAGCCTTCATTTGAGCCCCTTCCTTTCACTGTTTATATTGTATTGTAGTTTTTAAAACTTTTATTTCATTTGTTTGTTTGGCTATGCCAGGTCTGAGGTGTGCTACATGGGATCTCTGATCTTTCTGCGGCATGTGGGGTCTGGTTCCCTGACCAAGGATTGAACCCAGGCGCTCTGCATTGGGAGCACAGAGTCTTAGCCCCTGGACCACCAGGGAAGTCCCTGTATGGTTTTGTTTTGCTTCTAATCTAGTCTGTGTCAGCTCCAGGGCAAACTGAATGATTCCCAGGGTTTGGAGTTGAACTGAGGTATAAGCCAAGGTGAGGG